ACTGTGTTAACATCTTGAGAAGCCTTTTTTTAGCTAGCTTTAAGGAACAAGGTGTATGCAGTGATTATCAGCTACATTTGACCAGCAGAATTTCCAAAATAGTAAGATCCCTGTATGAAAACAGACTGTAGAGCAGAGAAGAAAGATTTCTGTATTATCCTTACAGGAGGGAAGATATATCCACCTAATTTTTGTTAAACACCAAAAAGTTGTAGAGAACCAGCACCTTATTTTTCCATTTGTATTAAAAGCTTCAATTGTGTTAAAAGGTTTCATGGAATCATAGAATAGTTAGGGTTGGAAAGGACCTTAAGATCATCAAGTTCCAACCCCCTGCCATGGGCAGGGACACCTCACACTAAACCATGTCACCCAAGGCCTCGTCCAGCCTGGCCTTGAACACCACCAGGGATGGAGCATTCACAACCTCCCTGGGCAACCCATTCCAGTGCCTCACCACCCTAACAGGAAAGAATTTCCTCCTTATATCCAATCTAAACTTCCCCTGTTTAAGTTTTAACCCGTTACTCTTGTTCTATCACTACAGTCCCTAATGAAGAGTCTCTCCCCAGCATCCTTATAGGCCCCCTTCAGATACTGGAAGGCTGCTATGAGGTCTCCACGCAGCCTTCTCTTCTCCAGGCTGAACAGCCCCAACTTTCTCAGCCTGTCTTCATACAGGAGGTGCTCCAGTCCCCTGATCATCCTTGTGGCCTCCTCTGGATTTGTTCCAACAGTTCCATGTCCTTTTGATGTTGAGGACACCAGAACTGCACACAATATTCCAGGTGAGGTCTCACAAGAGCAGAGTAGAGGGGCAGGATCACCTCCTTCGACCTGCTGGTCATGCTCCTTTTGATGCAGCCCAGGATACGGTTGGCTTTCTGGGCTGCAAGCGCACGCTGCCGGCTCATGTTCATTTTCTCATCGACCAACACCCCCAAGTCCTTCTCCGCAGGGCTGCTCTGAATCTCTTCTCTGCCCAACCTGTAGCTGTGCCTGGGATTGCTCCGACCCAGGTGTAGGACCTTGCACTTGGCATGGTTAAATTCCATGCGGCTGGCATCAGCCCACCTCACAAGCATGTCGAGGTCCCTCTGGATGGCATTCCTTCCCTCCAGCCTATCAACTGAACCACACAGCTTGGTGTCATTGGCAAACTTGCTGAGGGCACACTCAATCCCACTGTCCATGTTAGCGACAAAGATGTTGAGCAAGACTGGTACCAACACCAGTCCCTGAGGGACACCACTCGTTACTGGTCTCCAGCTGGACATTGAGCCATTGACCACAACTCTCTGTGTGCTGCCATCCAGCCAGTTCTTTATCAACCGAGTGGTCCATCCATCAAATTGCTGTGTCTCCAATTTAGAGACAAGGATGTCGTGTGGGACAGTGTCGAACGCTTTACACAAGTCCAGGTAGATGACATCAACTGCTCTACCCCTGTCCATCAGTTCTGTAGCCCCATCATAGAAGGCCACCAAATTGGTCAGGCAGGATTTCCCCTTAGTGAAGCCATGCTGGCTGTCACCAAGCACCTTGTTGATTTTCATGTGCCTTAGCATGCCTTCAGGGAGAATCTGCTCCCAGATTTTGCCAGGCACAGAGGTGAGACTGACTGGTCTGTAATTCCCCGGGTCATCCATTTTCCCCTTCTCGAAAATGGGGGTTATATTTCCCTTTTTCCAGTCATTGGGAACTTCACCTGACTGCCAGGATTTTTCAGATATGATGGACAGCGGCTTCGCAACTTCATTCGCCAGCTATTCAGCTTCTTAAAGACCAGTCAACCAAATATGGAATATTAGGGCCCAGGAAACCAAACTTCTTTGTTTCTGGTATTATAGACAGATCTCACCCCCTAGGTTTACACTTCCTGAAAAGTTGGGACAACTGGTATTTGGGAGAAAGGTGTGCTGCAAGTACATGCAAGAAGTTTACAGTACAGTATTGGAATTGGGAGATACAGTAGAGTTATGGCCTGACTCAGCATGGTATGTGTGAACCTGATTGGGTCTGAAATCTTGCCACAACTTGACTCATCCCTTTTTTCTACTGGCAAATTACTTTTGCTCATCCTTTTTTTAGTTTTATTTTCTGTTGTAGACATGATTAAAAGCAATTTGGAATAATTCCAGTACTTACTGTGGTGGATTGATCCTGAGTGGATGGTAAGTGCCCACCAAAGCTGTTCAGTCATTCCACCTCCTCGTCTGAACAGGGGAAAGAAAATACAATGAAATACTTGTAGGTCGAAACAAAGACAGGAAAAGATCATGGGCCAAGTACCACCATGGGCAAAACAGACTCCTCTTTGGAAAATCAGTTCAATTTATTACCAATCAAATCTTTAAACACCTTTCCCCCACCCCTCCCTTCTTCATGGGTTTCCTGATTTCTGTACTGTCTCCACCCCACCAGTGCAGGGGGACAGAGAATGGGGGTTGTGGTCAGTTCATCCTAAATTGTCTCTAATGCACTTTCCTCCTCAGGGGAGAACTCCTCACACTCTTCCCCTGCTCCAGCACGTGATCCCTCCCACAGGAAACAGTCTTCGATGAACTTCTCCAGTGTGAGTTCTTCCCACAGGCTGCAGTTCTTCCCTGCTCCAGCATGGGTTGCTTCTACAGGGCACAGTCCAGGAACAGACTGCTCCAGTGTGAGTACCCTGCAGGGTCAAAAGTCCTGCCAGCAAACCTGCTCCACTTTGGAGCAGTATGTCTCAAATCTCAGTGAAGATGTCCATATGCTTTCTAATTTTTTTTTTCTTAAGTATCAGATATTTTTGTGGAGAATTCTAATTTTTAGCTATTTACACTTCAATGCAGGTGCTTTTACAGGCTTCTGCTCTTTTTTGTTGTCTTCAGAGTATGGAAAACAAGAACGTCTTTATGTCCATTGGTATTTCACAGATGCACATTACTCAGAATTTGCAGTTCGTCATCTAGAATGTTGCAAATGCTCTCTTTTATCGAGTAGGTCAAACACCTTAAAGCCACACTGGATCATAAAACTTCTTTTAAAAGTATTTAATGCTTTCTGTAAATGCTTCCTGTAAAGCTTCATGCATGTTGTAATGATATCCAGGCACCCTGTGAATGTTCCATGTTCCGTAAAAGTGTGTGTCCATATCAATGTATTGCCTTTGCCCCTAAGCTGGAGGCACTGTAGTTGCCCAAGTTCAAGTTTTACAATCAAACAGCAGTCTAATTGAAGGAGAAACATCCTGATAACTGTTCTGGTTTTCTACACTTGCTTCTTGTTCTCGCTGTGCCAGGCAGGAGTTAAATTATGCCCTCTTGAGACTGCAGTTGGACTCTTCAGTCACATCCCCTTTTCTTTAGTTAAAATTGTAGTATGTCTCTTCTGCAGGAGTGGCACAAAAAGGAACCGTGTTGGGATAAAAGATCTGGTACTCCCCGGATAAGCAGATATGTAGCTTGGTAAGGATTCTACCCTACCATGTCTTTTTTCTAGAGAAAGGGTTGAGGCCAAGAGGACCTTAGGGAGGCAAATAATTATTTTAACCCTTCATCTTGTTAGAAAGCAATACTTAGAAAGAAAACAACCCCACACTTGATGTTTCAGTTTTATGTCTACAATCCATAGTAATTTTACAAGCATGATGCAGAAGTAGGCTATAATTTAGTTATATACAGTCTTAGTAATGACATACTAACTGTGAAGCTCTGCTCACCAAACCAGGTTTTTGTCGTAAATTCACTGTGACAAAATTTACAGCTATAGATCAAATTAAGCATCCAAAACTTCCAGTGAACTTTTCATGTGTAAATATTTCACTGCCGCTAAATATGCTTGAAAATGAAAAGGTTTTGGTGAGTTCTTAGTTGGCACGTGTTTTTCTAATCTTTATCAGGAAATGCTTTTCATGACAAGGGGCAATTGTTCCCTTTTCAGAATTGTCTGAGATTTAAGGCTTCTGATGTCCCTTTTTCTTTCAAAGCAAGTAAAGCAGATAGATGCTTGGCAGTTCTGAAAATCAAGCTATGTATCTAGGTATCTAGCTTTGTTTGAAACATTCTGGATCAGTTTATAAGAGTGATTATTGGAACTGGAGTGAAACCAAGTAATCCTGTTGCCCCGACTTGAATTCTAATTACATGCCTTGTACTCTGCCCTTTACTTCTTTATCTTAAGTATAATCTACTCCAGTGTTTTGTGTTTCTCAGTGGCAGTTTCCAGTTGTGAGAGAGTGATTATTTTCAGGATCTTTAAAAAGTCCATAATTTCTTGTCAAATGTTAGGGGGGAAAAATCTACTTAGAGAAACAGGAGTCATGGAATGAGCGTAAATATTGACACACTGTCTTTGAAGCTCCAAGTCCTACTGTGAAACTTGATGTCAGTCACTTTCAGTCCTTGTACTTAAAGTAAGTCAAATGAGTGCTGAAATGCAGTGTTCCTCAGTAAAGATTTTTACTTGAGCTAAGGAGATTTAACCTTCCAAGATGATCTCGGCTGCCTTCCAAAATGTATCGCTGAGGATGCTTTTTTTCCTGCTTTCTGTGTTCAAGCTTTATCGCTATTCACACTGATCTTTCAGAAGACTCTCTGGACATTTCAGTTTATGAAACATAAGCAACAGATATGATCGTGATGAAAAAATAAAGGGACAGCTAAGGCAGCTTTACACAGCTGTCCCTTTTCCCTCTGGGACTTATTAAGTGTTACACAAACAAAACTCTCTGGTTGCCTTTGCTTGTGTAGGGACTTGCAGTCTTTTCTCAGACTTTGTGGCTGGCCTGTTTTGTTTCATTATTAATATTTAGCAGTTTACATTTACCATATAGCATGATCATTTTGCAGGGTTAATTATCTGTGAACAGGGAAAGTTTTGTTCTGCAAAACTACCCTGAGCATAGAGTGTGATCTGACATTCTCTGCAGGTTGTTTGGATGTAGGTTTTTTTTTTAGTGAAATATTAGCTTGGGCTTTGATTAAAGAAAAGTTAACACCACTAAGTTATCAGGGCAGAGCTTACTTCTCTGACTCAACATTTAGCCTTCTGTTTAGCTGACCATGGCCTGCAGCTGAATCTGTCTTTACTAGTGTTGGTCATGTGTAAGCCAAAACACAGCCTGCATGCTTATACCATAGTTGGCTTTGCAGTAATAGAGCAAGTATTGAAGACAGGGAAGCCTTGTAATATTTCTTTTTAGTTATGACTTTAATAGGAGGAAGGAGTTCAGCATGTGCTATTTTTTATGTGGCTAGTCATACATCAAGATTGTAAGATCTTTGGAGCAGATGTATTTTGCGTAATCCTTTCTACCTCATTTTCTCCACAGAGCTTTGATCTGTGATTAGATCTATGTGTATAAATCTGTTTATGTAGCAGTTAGTTACTCATAGCAGAACCAATTCTTGAGCCTAGTACAAAGCTAGAAATGAGGCAAATAGGGTATTTGTAGTGCTTTGAGTGTACAAACCTTTAATGCGTTCTTAAATACAGAAATTGGTGCCCAAGCTTAATAGCTATCACATGCAAAATATGTTTACCCTGATATTTTGAAATTACTACTTACAACAGGCCTCACGGGCTCCTTGTCCCCTTTGTGTGCATGTGTTATTCCCACTGTTGATGATGGGAATTAGCTGTACACATCAGGAGGAGGATATACCCCCTGGACTAGAACTTAGACAGTAGGGAGTATGAAATCCTCCAGCTATTAGATAGCAAGAACAGCACAGCTTCAGCATTGCTCCCACTTGGCTTGTCACCTCTGCATTTTGTAATTCTGTGCTAAGGAAATAGTAATGGAAGTAGCAGCTGTGAAATGTGATGATAGCACAGTGCTACCTTGATAGAAATTGCAGCTCAGAGCTGCGGACCAAGTGTGGCCCTTTAAGGACTTTGAATGATGGAAGTGATCTGTTTCTTCAGGAAAAAGCAGCCATCCAGGCTGACCCTAGTGTAAAGCTTATGTCACTTGCTGCATTAATAAATGGTTGTCCAGAGAGAGGATTGCTTTCATTTGTGTCCTTTAAAATATATTTTCAAATTTGCATTCAGTTATTTGTTTCATCTATTAGGCCAGATCTCTTCTCAAGATGTTCTGTTCTTTGAATTGCCATGGTTTATTGTTTCTTTTCTAGTACTGTCTGGGTAGCTGTTACCTTCAGTCACATGAGTGAAGTTTATATATATCAGATATGTCTGGATATAAACGGTGTTGGACTTGACATTCTCAGTTTCTTCTATGTAAGTAATTGCATGAGGGGGAGGAGTAACAGTGTGATATAACACAAAGGTTCAAGAATGGTTTATCTTATAAGTGCTTGATCTTTTGTTTTCTGGGGGGTGTTCTTCGTTTTCTGAATCTACTTTGCTAATACTGTGTGGAAGCTGTCAGGCGTGGGGCACTCCAGAACTGTTTAGAGCTCCTACACGTTTCCAAAATGAGAACTACAAAAGATTCAGTCAACTTTGCAAGAGAAAAGCTCCCTCCTGTGGAAGAGATGAACCTCTGCAGTGACTATGAGCAACGTTGGGGCGTTTAAGACTGTGATTTTACATTAGCAACAAAAAAAAGCACAAGCCCTGTAGGGGTTTGCAGAGGCTGGAATTTAAAAGCATGTTCCCTGTTATTGTTCCCAAAGCAAGTTCTTCTGATTTTGCATGACTTATTTCTAATATGTATCAGTTGTAGCTGTTTGCGGTCTGTAAGCAAAATTGGATCATTTAAATAACATGTGGCCACAGTGGAACCTTTAGTGTCAAAGGTGTCTGAAGCACAAAGGTGCTTTAGTGACAGGACAAGGGGGAATGGCTTGAAACTGACAAAGGGGAGATTTAGATTAGACATGAGGAAAACATTCTTCTTTGTGGAGGTTGTGAGACACTGACACAGGTTGCCCAGAGAAGCCGTGGCTGCCCCAATCCTGGCAGTGTTCAAGGCCAGGTTGGACAGGGCTTGGAGCAACCTGGTCTAATAGAAGGGGTTCTGCCCGTGGCAGGGGTTGGAGCTAGATGATCTTCAAGGTCCCCTCCAACACAAACCATTCTATGGCTCTATATTTATACAGATTTTGCTTTCTGTAGCTCTTTGCTGAAAAACCTAAGTATTTTGGGCACTTCTGTGAATTAGAGTCATAGAATTTACATAAAAAAGAATCAATTGTTTTTCTCTTTTCTGAATGTAATAGTTCTGTATATCCTGACAATCTGTATCAAAATTATTTTTGATATTGCTGCAATTGGGGGTCAGAGCTGAACTCAAAGCCCTGTCTGACTTGAAAAATGCAACTGCACAAAAAGCATAAAGATGAATTTGTGGAGGAGCTGGAACTAGAATTCATCTTGATATCAAATTTCTGCTAGAAACAGTATTTTTACCTTTGAGCTGAATATGATTCATGCTTGTGATCTGAAGGTGGAAGGCTGTAGCTCATTAGCACATTAGCAGAACCCTGAGGTGTTTACTTCCATAAATGCTAATATTATTCCCCCAAGAATGAAGCACAGGGGAGTGAGAGGTAGGATAGAGGAGGGGAAAGACAGATTATTTAGCCTTGCAGTGGGGATTAAATTTACCAACTCAGATTCATTGCCAGGTAGAGGACTGAGACAGCACAGAGTGCATTGACCCACTGCAGAAAAATGACATTAGGTGTTGCAATCCTGTTAACTGGCAAAATGCTGAATTACAATCTTGTTCAGAGCTAGCTGGGTTCTAGCTTGTGCCACACAGCAACATGGATGTAACTTTGGTTACAGAAACGTGATTTGACAAATTCTTTGTGACGTGTAATGGTGAAGTCAGGTTTGGTTATCTTCATTTATAAGAACTGTGAAGGTTCTGTAGCTTTAGTGAATAGTCTGTATGATAGTGCATGTTAAGAAATGCTGCTGAACTTGAGGGAAAGCAGAAACTGCTCATGAGGCTGCATGCACTGAAAGCTCAAGTCAGGGTTATGAGGGATGCTGGTAGAAGTGCCCTATTGAAGAGGTTCAGTTCTGTGTGAGCTCCCTGGACCTCAGTCTGTCTCTGATCTCCATTTGGACCACAGAGCTCTCAGTGGCTGCTGCTCTTCAGGTGCTAGTTTGAATTAAACTCAGAAAGTGAAGGGGAGTTGCGTTTGCATTTAAGGAGTTTCACCAGGTCCTGCAAGTAGTGTGTTTGTGTGGGAAAAGTGGCCTACGAAGTTACAAAGGGCGTGGGGGAGTCTTTTTGATGTGGCCTCCAGCTTAGAGATGGCTCCTGGGTCTTAAAGTTCCTTCTTACTATATTTCCTCTAAGTAGCACCATCTAGTGATTGCCTGGAGTATTTTTGATTGCTGCTTCCCCCCCCCCCCCCCCCCCCGGCAGTTCTATTCTGGTTTCTTAAGAAATTGAAGCTAGTGTTGAGCACATTTTGTCTCCACCCTCGATGTTAAATGTTTTTCATGAAAATTGAAAGAGAGGCCAAGGTCCTGTAATTGAGTTGCTTTGAATTTTATGAAATTACATATCAGAACAGGGCATCCATAATGACAGAAGGGCTGCAATATGTGTGGAACCATAGTATTAAAACACCAGAAAATCCACGGGAGATGGACAGGAAATTAGTCCACAGTTCACTGTAAGTTCCACAGTTCACTGTGATATACTACTGAGAAAAAAAGGCAAAGTAAAAGTTTGACTAGGTTTTTCATATTCACAGGGCAGTGATTTTTGTGAAACAATTGTGAGCTGAAAGAACATTGCTTCAAAACCCTCAGCAGTTAATTTTCTTTTACTGGAGCAGTGGGAATTGAAATAATTATTGAAATACAGAAGAGAAAATTTACCAGAGCTGGGCATTTATTCTTGACTGTAATGGCTAATAATTTGTACCTGCTCACTTCAAATGAAGTCTTGTTTGAAAATCTGTAGACCATGGATAAAATAATTGCAGAGAAATGGTCTGGTGTTTTTGCAGTACTTTAAAGCATGGGTTTGGATCATCTGGTGCACATTGCACTAAATCCTTCTTCTCCTCCTCCAGGAATTCCACATCTAAGGGGCTACACAGCAGGTAACTCATAACTGATCTGAGATATGATAGAGCCAGCCTGCTTTTTCAAAGCATCCTAAGGACCATTACCTCATTTAATCTTTCATTTCTATGACTTTTAATAAAAGCCCAGAAGGTAAGAAGGAGATGGACTAAAATAATCTGTTAATTAAAAACAAGCAAACAAAAAATAACCCCCCCAAAAAATGAAAAGAAAGCACCAACTTTAGACTATACATTCTATACATAGAATTGGCCAGGGCTTTTTCGTTACAGTAAGTCTGAAATGTGAAAGTGTCTTAGGTGAATCTGTTGGCATAGCAACTTAGATTGAGCAGAAGAGTGCCATCATAGTCAGAAAATAGTGTATGTTGTGATACTGTTGCCTGCTACTGCCACTTCTCTGCAGACAGGGCCCTCTGGGGTTCACATTAAACTCATAATGATTCAGTTCAAGCTTCTAAGAACATTTGGCCCCGGCAGCACATACACTGTAGCTTGATGTAGATCTACCAACAGTCACTCCCATAACAGCAGGATGGCACCTAACCCTGTAGTTACCACGCTGAGAAGGGGCAGAAGGTCCATTTTACCTCCAACAGAGTCATATGGTTTTTGCCTTCATCATCAACTGATAGTTTATTTGTTGCTTCTCTCAGGGTGGTTTGAAGGCTACAGAAGTTACTGGATGGAATACTAGGCTGTGCCTTGCTATGTGGGATAAAGGGAGTAGGAGTGTCTGTTCTCTGGGGGAGGAAAACAGAGGCACTACAGGTAGTGTATGAAGCATTTATATATGGCAGCATTGAGGAAAAACAGACTATCAAAGCCTTACACTTTGTCAATGATAATAACAGCAGATGTTATGAATTATATATTTTTAATTGAATATTTTGCGCATCAACATTGATGGAAAATCTGTCATTACTTTTAAGCCTTGTCTCTGATGGAGATCTGTTTGTATCTATCTATGTACCCATACCTGAGTAGTGCAACTCACTGCAGGTCAAAAAATTACAACCTCCAATGATTGCAGTGGGAGAACTTAATGGTTCTTCATTTGCGTGTATCTTCTACAGAGAAATTCAGTGAGTGTTAGAGCACTGTGGAAACAATCTTTGTGATTGTTTGAGTTCTTCAGCACTGTAATGACTGTGGCATCTCCACCACTGACCGTCAGTAGTGCCTTCTGTCCAAATTTACTTCTTTGTATTTTTGGCAACTGCTCATTTTTTTCTTATTTATAGTTGGGATACAGTTGGAATCCCTGTGAATTTCTTCTGCAGAAAGAGGTAGACAAGATTATATGTAATGTGTAAGGTCATTCATGGGATTATCCTTCCTGAGTGCGCAGACCTAAACTGTGTTGACTAATAAGAGAAATAATGACTTTGAAGTAGGACCAGAGAAAACGATGCAGAGAGGGCTGGTTTCCCTCTTCCTGGGTTGATGCAGTCTTGTGTTCCTAAGGCTGAAAGCCAGGGCTCACAGGGATCTGAAGCTTTAAATGCTGGTCTCAGGGAGAGGAGAAAAGGAAGTAGTCCAAGGAATGCTGGCAAAAGCTGCCAGGAATGCAGCAGGGAAGGCCCATGAGCAGGAGTGCCTGTCTCTCCTAGCCAGATATCTGGATTAGCTGTACTGAGGGGACTTTCCAGTCATTGCTTGTGAGCCTTGTAGAGCTAAGGGAAAACATGAATGTTGTAAGACTCATTATACTGCTGCTTTGTGCTGCAGGGTTGACACAGCTATTAATTCAGTACTTTGAATTCTGGAAGCCAAAGCACTTGTTTCAGATCTCAAAAAGGTTAGCATTTACAAGATGCCACCTCCTTATTTAATCAAAGCTTCACAAGGAGACTCTGGAAGAATAGAACTTTTCAGCTTGGCACACACATCAAAATTTTACATAGCGAGTGAGGCAGGCACTCTTGACCAAATGGAAACCAACCTCTGCTGGCACGTGAAAGCCTTGCATTATAAAACTCAGGTTCATCATAGAGATGTTCTATTCTCATCTTTTATAGGAAGAATGTAACAGATGAGGTTTTCTGATACTCTGCTAGTCTGACATCTGCAGGGGTCACTCTGCATCTGCAAACCAATGGATGGAACCTCAGCTGAAGCCAGTGAAACCTCCCTACCTTGTGTTAGCAGGGCGTGGAGACGTTAGCAGTATTATTTCTTTTTCAGATGCAGTCAGCTGGTGGGAGATACCAAAGCCTGTAGTGGCTGCACTAAACACAAAGTCTTGTGAAAACTCTAATGATATAAGCCCTGTGCATGTTCATAACTGTAATAATCATTACTAATAACTTGCTTTTGGATCCTGTTACTCAGCAGTCTAAAAGTGTTAACTGCTACCTAAATATAGATGAAAAAGTGACTCTGAAAGACTTTGTGTCTTTGTTTCAATCTGTCTTATGAAAATGAAAGCTGGAACGCTGCATGAGAAAAATCTTGAAGTCTTTCACGGATAAAACCTTTAGATATGAGTGTCTTGTGGTTTCAGTGGATTGACACATTTTCAGCATTTTCTGACACTGTAATGAATAAATATATATTTAAGCTGAGTGTATTATGTCCTGTTTGAATTTTGGAGTTCTGTACTAAAATTGAAATACTACTTAGAAAAAGCTGTGTAAAGAACAAAGTTGTCTGGAGATTAAATGCTGCTGATTGAATAATGCATCAAGCTGTCACAGCAACAGTTTTCTAGTGACTCAGGCTCTATGAATATTTACCAGAGTTGTCCTGCATGAAAGAAAATCAAACAATTACTTTCCAGGGAACTGCTGAAGTCTGGCGTCACCTTTACTAGGAGCAAATGTTTGCTTTGTTAGCAAAGCACTTGTGCAAGGGGAGATCGATGGGGCTAGTTTGCTTTATGTGTGCCAAGTATCAGCACTAGTGGTATGAATACTCAACAAACACCACTTGAATAATCTATTTAGGAATGATGTAAGGCCATCAACCCACATTTCTGTATGCTTAAACCTTATCTAGGGGAGAAGGGTCTAACAGCTGATCAATGCCATTTCACCTGACCCAAGATAAACTGTTAACCAGTCCTCATCCTTTTTATCACTGCCACTGTTTGTAGAAGGGGTGCTACAATCATGTTCAGTCTCAGGATACAGAGCCTCCAAGAAACAAGTGGTCTCGCTGTTCTTTCTGTCCTTTCGGAAGCAACTCACTCCATCTCCAGGCTCTTTCTTGACCACCCTCTGAACTGAATTGCTACAAGACTTGCTAGGACATAAAGGAGCTGCCCTATTTGGCATTAATATGGGCATGAGTGTTTACCATGGAAAAAGTGTGTTTCCCAGCTAACAGCCCTTCTCATGCCAGGATAGATTTATTCATTTTAATGTTTCTCAAATGCTGGAGAGCTAGGACATTATAGGTCAAAGCAGCAGAGCTCAAAGTGAAGGCTTGTCTTATGCATTTTAATTTTACTAGGATAGAAGCTTCTCTGTTAATTTATTATCATACATATTTCTTGCTGATGTGCTTTCAGTTCATATGTACAACCAAAATTAGGTTGCCCATAGAAGCTGTGGCTGCCCATCCCTGGAAGTGTTCAAGGCCAGGTTGGACGGGGCTTTGAGCAATCTGGTCTAGTGAAAGGGCAGGGACATTTGAACTAGATGATCTTCAGGGTCCCTTCTAACCCAAACCATTTTTGGTTTCACAGAACCCTAAGTATGCCAGTTGTTGTAGAATACAATTTCTTTCTAGTAGTGCAGAGCTAGAATTGATTGACAGCTGGAAGCTTGGTATCATTTAAGCCTGTTATCTGGAACTTCTGCTGAAGTGCTGGCAACAACACGTCTGTCTGAAGTACAGATTTCATTTGAATTTGATCAGTTCATTTTTTTTTAGTTTGAAGAATTCTTTGTGTAATCTAGGAAAGGCCTAGGAAAGACGTTAACATAGATTACTTCTAGAATTTCATCACAGTGAAATTTGCCTACGTAATATTGCCTCAGAGCAGAGATGCAGCTGGGTAGCAACCTGTTCCAGTGGTGTGTTACAGCAGTGCTACTGTCAGGTTCTTCCGTCTGTAGAAATCTGTAAATGGTCAAGCTTTTTGATTAATAATTCAACTAAAGAAAATATATCCTTGGTATATTACTTGTGTTCCAATTCGGTACCTTCCACACTATGTTAGTGTAATGAAATTCAGCTGCATTTTATCAATAAGCTCTACTGAATGTTACCACATTAACTGTCTGTATTCTAACAGACTGAAACTGTATTTCCTAAAAACTTTGGATAAAGAACATGAGTACTTTGGACTGGATTCTCAGACAGCACTGACTATGAACCCTCTCCTGTCTGACTTTCTAAAACCAGTGACTTTCTTGATACAGTATTTTCAACTCATTTATATGGTCTTACTAGGGAAGAAATTGTTTATGTCCTTTATTACAAAGATCAAAAGTAATGGTAACCATTTACATACACAATTTACAAATTATTCACAAAGGGAATCACAGATATACAAGAACTGACAGCTTCAGCCCAAGTTGGGGATGGGAGAGTGTACTTGTTCCCCTGCTTTTATTTACTGAAATAAAAGATATGTTTGTTTTTTGTTGTATGTATTAAACACTGATCTAGTGTTTATGTAGCACCTTTAGTCATAACCATGCAAATGCTTACATGCTTACCTTTATTTGAAAGAGTGCAATGCATGTATAAACATGTTTGTTGGTCAGAAATCCTGTTGATTTTGGGTACAATACAGTGGCCAGGCTTGAAAAGGTTGATCTGTAGGATTTAACTGTTTTGAGCAATGTGTGTTTAAAACAAAAATGAAGATTACTACCAGAACTCTTAATTTAAGAACTAAATATAGTATGGTTGCTGTATCTTTCAGGAATATACTGTATGATCTTAAGATAGAAACTAGCCATGTTGTTAGGTGTCTGATACCATAGCTGGTTTATTGCTTTTCCCTCATTCAGGTTAGCATATTTTATACAGTTTCCTAGAACTATTTCAGAGACTGCAAAACTTTAACAAAGAATCCTATCTTGAGAGATTTGGTAAATTAGGAAACTTCACAAAATATCTTAACAGCACTTACCAAAAGGGAGAATGAGTTTGCAAATTCCCTGGTATGAAAGCACAATATCAACAGTGCAATAGCTGCCATTTAGCTAAACCTACAAATATCCACAGTTTGCACGTTTTGCTGTCCACTGGGATGACATGTACAACAAAATGCTTGAAGAAGCACACCGATTTAGGAGCAAACACAAATGCAAATACAGAAATCACCCAGGTGATGTTGCATCCAATTTCTAAGCAATAAAGCTAAACACTTTGCAAGAGTTATGTCTAGTGGAACCATTTAGTGGGAATAATCCAGATACTTATGACGCTATTATGATGGTATGACTTTCTACCCAGCTATCAAATATTCTTTACCATGAACTTTCAGTATTCTCAGGATGACAGGTAAAGAATGTTGCAGATGCCATGGTAAACTTAATATACAGTAATAGGCAAAGATTTTAGTGACACCACCTGTATATACAACATAGTTGTTGGAACCTCATGGAACAAAGCAATGTTACAGTATGCCTTTGTTAAGGCTTCTTGCTGGTTTAAAAAGGTAGATTCCTCTTTAGGGAGATTGTCCAGCAGTACTGGTTTCACATCTCTTCAGTGTGAATCTGAATTCTCCCCTTTTTATTTTAAGCCACTGCTAGACTCTTCAGCGGAAGGTCTCTTTATTGATCCACATAAGACTGCGTGTTTCATTTGGTTTGCATTCGTACTCAATACAGCCAAAACTGTTACCCCATTGGCAATGATCCCGCTTGTGGTAGTTGTAGAATTTGACTTGCCAGACTGTTTCAAAAACACCAATGTCGTTAAACTGCAAGGAAGAGGGAATATCAGTGTTAGTGAGCTGATTATTTTGTTGGTTTCTCTCTCTTAAGGAAACTGTGGACCATAAAACAGCTGATGTAAGGGTTATTGTTCCTCAACTCAATAAATCAAAGTTCTGTAAAGCCTGCTCTAGCAGTCATAAAGTCTTTTATGGTGAGGCATACATAAACCATGAAGGGTCAGATTCTCCAGCTGCTATCTGCTTGCACTTGCATCTGGAAAGGCAAGTCAGTGAATATGTTCTAGATCCCACATGGATAAATGTTACTAACAGCAAGAATCAAAGCCGTAATCCTTAGGGTGACTCAGCAGTAGTTGGCCCAATGATCTTCAAGTGGCTTGTACATACTGTAGACCATGTAGCAGCAATCTGTAGTGATGTAGGCCATCACTTCACCTTTATACCATACCTAGAGGCTGCTCCTTCTTTTGCTTAATCTAAAATCTTTAATGCCCCTGTATTTTGTAGCCTTGTGTTAGCAGTGTCTTGACTGAGACATGCTGCTATTAGACCACTTACTCCTTCCCTGGATTCTGTTCCACATTTTACATGAAACAAGCAAAAGAAGTTATTTGTGCATTTCTGTAATTGCTAGCTGTACTGTGATAGTGCACTTTTCAAACTGAGGTATGAGTAACAGAAGCTAGGAAGGAGATAATCAGCGTGTTTAGCAGATAAGTGTCAAGTACAGTGAAGGAGTAGTGAGACATTGTCTGTAATTTGTCTTATTGTATTTGTAACTTTGGAGTGAATGATACTATGGCTCTAGTAAATTTTGTAGAACAGAAATCTCCCCTTTTTATTTTAAGCCACTGCTGGACACCTTTACATCATCAGGAAAACCTTGTGAGGGTTTCAAGGATAGATTATGATTTCAGTTATAATGCTGCTGCAGAATTTGAGTTTCTGTGCCTCGACACGTTGCAGAGAATCTGAAGTGTGGGTGTGAAGCCTGTATGTATTGCAGTTGGTCCCAGTAGCATGGCTTGATTGTGTTATGTTGTTAGATACTAGATGTGGATTCAGTGATACTGAACAGCACTGTTCTTCAACATTTTTTCCTTTTAAATATTTCCATCACTCACTTTAATGACAGCTCCTTCACTTGACTGTTTTCCATTCCCATCATGTGCCTGGGAGCTGACCTTCAATCATCTGCCTATTACAATCCCACTTGAAAAGTCTGTATGAAAGCCCTTTTACACAGTGACTCTTCCCTGAGTTACAAGCAGTCTTCTCTATCCAGTTTTCTCAGAAGGACATGTAGTTTATTTTTTTTTAATTCAAGATGTGGTTTGTAAGCTGCTGCTGTGTAATGGACATTGCTTTAAACCTTCCCCAGCCCACTGTGGTAAGTTAAATTTAGCCTTGACAACGGCAAGAATTGCTGTGTGCTGTTAGGGGAAAGTTTTTATTTGGCTCCAGTTCCAAGTGTTATCTTAAAGGAATATCTGAAATATTTCTGTGCCTTCATTTGACAAAGAGAGAATCAGATATCTTTGTCAAAAGACAGCCTATTTTATCTCTCCCAGCAACTAAAACCTTAATTAAGGTTTGGGGTTGGTGGTTTTGTTTGATAGTAATCCTGATGCACTCATAATGCAAGAGTAAAAGTTAAGCACATTGGATATTACTGTGCACAATCCAGAAAGAGAAATTGTCAGAGAGGAGCATCAGCCACCCTCAGTGTGGAAACTGAGGAATGAAAGGCATTTCTAGTAGCATTTGTAGAAGGTGGTATGATACAAGAAGAGCATTTCATTTTGTTAATGTATGAAGGATCTGAATTTCAACAAGACAGAGGAGGGAAACAAATTCTCTATTCCTCCAATGACCCAGTTTTGCTGAGCTACCCCAAGTAGTTTGCTGTGGATTTCCTGGAGAAGGAACAAATTAACTGCAGGGATTTTCTACTACCCTGTGCCTCCCCCCAAACCCAGTGCTTAGCAGATGCAGCAGCTCTGTGGCATCATGAACATTCTGCATCCTCAGAGTTCCCCTGAATTCCCATGACTCCTGCAGCTAAATCCTGGCTCCTTCACTGGGCCTGTATATGGGCCTCCTCAGAGAGGAGGCATGGCCCTACTTGTAGGTCAGGCTCACTTCCCTGTCTGCTATTCCCTCTCATCCAGTAGTATAGGTGTGAACAGTTAATCATTGCCTCTGAATTTGCATGCTAGGATGATTTGATGACTATTTATTACTGTGAATAGAGGTTTAGCTTCTTAATTCAATCTGAGACTAGTCTGGTTGAGAACAAAATGAGAGGTTTCTAAATAAGTTTACATCATTTACTAGAGAGTTTAGCAGTTTCTCCATAGTGAGCGTAACTGAGCATTCATGTAATAGAAATATATCCTCAGATTCTGGAATTCAGAAGCAGGATTGTTGTTTTACATGTACAGACTATGGCTGTAGCAGGCCAGATGTCTACTAGCCAGCTGAAGAAGGCACACAAATTATTTGTTTGAAGTTTTAAAGCAGTTGGAAAACAATTTTTTTATGGACCTTTATGGACATTGTGTCTTTCAGGAGTATCAAACCAGTGCTTAACTGCAGGATTGACCTCACAATCTGTTTCTAATGTGAGTTCAGATTTTATGCCTTAAATAGTGTCCTTATCTCCCTAGGATGTATTATCAGGATCCTGCCAGTTCTAGAAAAGGAAGTGGAGGCAGAAGTTCCTCATAGTTGAAAGAAGCAGGAAATTTTAAAGCCATTTGTAATAAGCCCAGTTTTGAAGAATCAGGAACTAGGTATTAGAAGCAGCTTTCAGACTGGGTATCTTGAGGCTGGTTGCCTTAATCTGTTACAGCTCTGTCTAGCTGAGCAGCTAAATGATGAGTTAAACATGTAAATCCCAGTTGAGATGCCTATATTTATACATAAAAGTAACAACTGTGGAGATCCTGAGTAAGTACTGAAAAACCTATCTATGAAGATCAGATCCTAAAAAAGGTTGAGGACCTGCTTAATGCTTGAAAATCCTATTAGCATCATGGTTAATATCCCAGGATTTGATTTGTAAAAGCAACTGTTTGGGCAAGTAATGTGGCTTCGCATTCTGATGCTGCAACAAAACACCTCAGAGCTTGTATCTGTAAATCAGACCCTCCTTGCATTTCTTGGAATTGCTTTATTTGATTTGACTTGGTTTTCTCTGTAAGAAAAGTTAAACATCCAGATTTTTAGGGTTCATATGAATGTTTCACTTAAAGCTAAGTGTGGCTATCACAATAAGGATGCCTTAGTCAAAGCAGCTGGGTTTTAGGGAGCGCTGCCCTTTCACCTCCTGGTATAAAGAAATTTAACTGTAGTACTCATCAGTGCCATCCAGCAGCCCTGTTCCACTGGTTGACGAGTCATACTGGGTGTTAGGTTTTCCTGGATGTTAAGAGGAGGTGACTGTATGCAAAAGTGATTAACCTGGACAGATACTTCAGGGTAGTCTTATTAACCTAAGATTCTGAAGCAGTAACTGCTAATGTGATGTGGGTCTCCACAATTAAGTTAGGTGTGCTGTAATTACTAGAAACACCAAATAGAGACACTACAGTTCTTATTCAGAGGGGGACTGCCATGCTAAGTGATGGCTGCAGATAAGAATAGCGAAGATAAAAGATCGAGATGAGATCTTGCATGCTGTGACCAAATGTGAGAAAAAGCTGAAATCTGGTGGGCTTGGCAAGGTCCTAATTTATGAGAGTTGGAACAGACCTTTAAGAGAGCTTTGGATGAAGATAGCTTATTGCCCCATTTCCCCTTTTTGGTACAGTAGGCAAAGAATAAACAGCAAGAACCCCTCAAAACTGTAATCAGGAAAGGGGGAAAAAACCCAAACAAGCAAACCAAAGACAGACCTCCCTCTGCACCCCGAGCATACCAGCCAAAGAGTGCTATGGAAATCTGCCTGCTGCTGTTCCTGTCTTCTGTCAACTCTGCCGCCTTACAGGCTGGAGCTTTTGTCATCTCACTTTGAGGCCATGGCATATACCAGTTCTGGCCCTCGGAGCTTCTCTTTAAGGTTGGGGTGAGGAGCCACTTGAATAAGAACTTGTTTGTGGATGCAGAGATAATGTGATAATGGAAAGATATGGGGAAAGGGAGAAGACAGCCCTGGGTTTGTTTTCACACATGCTTTCAGCCTCTGGTGGGTCCTCAGGCATCCTGCAGATGACAGGTGGAAGGTACTAGTCACCTCTTGTGCTTAGGGCATGCTCTGCTTCAAAACACTTGGTGGTGCTGGCAGGCAAAAGGGAGGCCCCTGTATGCCAAGGGCTTGGGATTGGATTCCTAGCCAGGGATCTTGGTGGGAGCTGCCTGATGTCTGTAGTGTCCTGCAGAAGAGGCGAGAGGTTCAGCTCACATTTCTTCCTGCTGCAGCACCTGAAAGGGCTTTGCAGGTCTCTAGAAATTCCCCTACTGTTTCCTAGCCTCTCTTGGCTTCCCCTTGGGAAGCAGGGCTTGTGTTTTTTAGCTCTACTCTGATCAGCAGTCTTACTGACACAAAGGAAACAGGAGGCAGCAGCTGTGATCAGACTTTGTCCTGGAATATTTCACCTCCACACCTCTCTCTGGGATACAACCCCCTGCTCCTGTCCCTTGTCTTCCCATGCCATGTTTGAGGAACCACATACCTGCATGTTGACCTGGATGGGCTGTCTCTCCCCACTCTTGGTATGGGGCACCCCTTCTGTGTCGTAGATCCCTGTGTAAGTGACCACCTGTGCATCCCTTGATTTCTCCTCCAGTGGGACATTAACACCGCCGATGCCCATTGTCCTGCAAAGAGACGGGATCCAGCCTTTCAGCAGCTCTGCACCTCCTTTCCTTGGCAGCTTGGAGCCAGCATGTGGGCTTGCAGCCTGGCAGGCTCTGTGCTGGGGGATGCCTCAGGGATTTTAGCAGGCCTGCAGGCAGGTGCTGCTGACTCACTGGGGCTCCTGAAAAATGTCAGGGCTTTGCAGTCCTCCAGGGAAGATGTCAAAAGGAAAGGCAGGAGGGATCTGATCTCGAGTAGCTGGGGAGAGGTTAGTCAAATCCCTTCTTCAGGGCTGCCCCTCCACTTGGAGCTGGCTCCCCATCTGAATCCTCCCTGGTCCCAGTCTCTGCTTTGCCATGCTGCAGCAAAGGCTTAGGCATGGTGTATCCTGACATGCAAGGCCAGAGGGGCCTCTTTCCTCTGTCTCCAGGGCAAACCGTGGGGAAGGAGGAAGAAAAGGAGCTGGACTTGAAAGAGCTCTGGGGAGAAGGTGTAAAGGGAGAGGGGAGGAAGCGACTCCCAAACATGGCCTCTCTCCTGAGCCAGAGCACTAGGAACAGCTGGCCAGGGGCTGAGGAACAGGGCCACCAAAGCAAAAAGGCAGGGAGGGAGAAATGACGGAAACCCCGCGCTGTCAGCATGCCAGGAAAAAACATTAAACCTCTAAAAATAAAGCAGGGGGGAAGGGAGGGCCGGGGGAGCCGCCCCGAGCACGGACTTACGTGGCCTGGACGGTGCCGGGCCGCAGGACCACCTCGATCTTGTACTTGGCTCCGGTCAGCAGCTTGATGGTGCGGTTCTGGCCGAAGCGCTGCCCGTCCACCTTGAAATACACCGCGCCGTCGTTGGGCTGGATTTTGAGGGAGACGCTGATTTTCACGAGGCCGGGAATGTCGCCCATCGCTTGTCACCGGCGGGGTGAGTGCGAGATCTGCGCCCCTGTCGCCACCTCCGCGGAAGGCGGCTGGCGGGAACAGGAGAGCGAGGCTGCGAGGGAGAGGAAGAGGAGGGGCTGCTTGATCCCCGCCGGCCCAGCCCTTCCCAAAAGCAGCGGATGATATATATTTGTTTTTTCCCTCCCCCAATAGCGACGCAGCATCTGGGCGGTGGATGCGCCCCCCCCCCCCCGGCTCCATATCCCACATTGTGGGGATATTTGCAGCTGCTGCGATTGCAGCCGGTTTCCAGGGAGTTAATCCGGCCCCAATTACTGCAGCCGTAATCCCGCCGTTCTTCCCGGAGGGAGCACGAGGGACTCGGACGAGACCGCGCGGCGCCGTTCAGCACCACGGGCGCGGACAGCGGCGCGGGCCGGGAGCGCCCCGTGGGGCTCCCCCACCGGCCGGAGCAGAGCAAAGACGTGGGTCTGTGGCTCTTCTCTCCCTGCGTGGCAAAAGGTTTTTGTGAGCCACCGTGCCTAGACTGTGGGTTTCTTGCTCCCTAAAGTTAACAGTTAATATCTAGTGTTTCTATTGGGGTGGTTTTTAGAATCACTTTGATCTCAAACACTTAACAAAAGCATTGCTAGTAGCTTAACTATTAACAAATCATTAAAGATAATTTGGGTAGCTAATCGGATGTATACGAAAAGAAATGAGATGTGCCAAATTAAGTCTTCTGAGACCCCACCTGGAATCCTGCATTCAGCTCTGGGGGCCTCTAGCATAAGAAGGATGTGGAGTTGTTAGAGCAAGTCCAGAGAAGGGTCACAAAGGTAGATCAGAGGGCTGAAGCACGTCTCCTGTTAAGACAGGTTGAGAGAGTTGGGGTTGTTCAGCCTGGAGAAGGCTCTGGAAGACCTTAGGGCAGCTTCCAGTGCCTAAAGCTGCCGACAAGAAATCTGGAGAGAGGCTTTTTGTAAGGGCATTGTGACAGGACAAGGGGGAATGGCTTTAAGATCAAAGAAGGGAGATTTAGATTAGATATAAGGAAGACATTCTTTCCTGTGAGGGTGGTGAGACACTGGCACAGGTTGCCCAGAGAAGCTGTGGCTGCCCCATCCCTGGAAGTGTTCAAGGCCACGTTGGACAGGGCTTGGGGCAACCTGGTCTAGTGGAAGGTGTCCTTGCCTATGGCAAGCGGTTTAGAACTAGATGACCTTAAGGTCCTTTTCAACCCAAACCATTCCGTGATTCTATGATGAAGTACTAACTGGGGAAAAGGTTATTCTGTCAGAGGGAGATCACAAGCAGCGATTCATTGACCACTGACTCAGGAACCAACCCCACACCCCAATTAAAGAAAAGTAGAGATTGACCGTGTGGACTAACTAACATAGGAAGCAAGAGTTGCTTAACACATAGGAGATTGAGTAAAAAGTAATGAAAGAGTTATTTAACTTATCAGTGAAAGCTGATGTCTTTGATTGGAAAAAATGTATAAATAGTGTAAAGCCAAGCATAGGTTTCATAATGTGTCCAGCCAGCCTTGTTTCCACAAAGATGAGGGCTGGGCAAGATCCCTTCCTCTCAGAACTGTGTGTGATGAGTTTTGTGTGTAACATTCTACCATTTGATAGCAGTCACTGCCAGAGGGAGTTGGTTTGGGAGATGTTACACAAATGCAGCCACTGCTTCTCCCACTGAACAGTCAAGAGTGAAACAAAAGCTATTAACCCCCCCAGCATATTCCTTTGTATAGTGAGGTAGCAGCGTTATCAACATTAATGTATGAGAAGAATCTTTTGGGTCTGGTGTAATGTCAAAGGGCACCTAATCAAAGAATGGTTGCATCTAATCAAATAGTAAGTTGCAGCAACAACTCATCCCACAGTGGGGGCCAGCATTTGATCACAATCATACACTGACCTCCATCGATTTGTTGCAAAGATCTTTTCTGACTTCAGAGGTCCACCAAAATCAGGTAAGATGAATCCCTCCAACCACTGTCAAGGTCAACAATGAATGGTTTTGAAAGTATCTTGGAAGTTAACAGATGTTTTCAGATGAGGAAGCAGCTGCTATGTACACACACGCATCTCATAACACTATGGCTCCACAAAAGAAGACCACATGTGCATCTCTTCCCCATCTTCTTTTGAGAATTCTCATTTTTCTTTGCATTCTGCTGAAAGTGCTGCACTTTGTGGCTGTTTAAAGTTAGGCTTGCAGCAATTCCCAGTTCTGCAAGTTTAAATGTAATTCAGTATGAAATCACAGAGGCCTTATGCATGGGGAATCTGATAGTATCACTTAAAGTGGCATGTGAAGAATAATAGCCATTGCCAGGGATCAGTTTTACTCACCTCTTGGGCCAGACATATCATGTTGTAGTAAATCGTGTGTAGCTGAAGACATTGATTGCTATTAGTTTCCCAAGTACATGAGAGGTCAGATCTATAACGAGTATTTTTTCCCTTATTATTTCTGCCTGAATGGTCATCTTTGGATGCAGCTCAGGCTGTGACTTTATTCCAGACCACTGTGGCAAAAAATAGCAAACATAAGGGAGAACTAAAAAAGCATATGCCTGAGTAACTGGTTTACCATGTGAAAGTGAAATCTGGTGAGAGTAGAACATTTACAAAGAAAGATTTTTAAACATAAAATTACCTTTCTTTTTATCAATCTGATATCTTTGCATATGTCAACACATTTACTTACCCGATCCTACCAGACACTCTTTATCAGTGCAGATCAAGGGGGCAGAGTGGCTTTGCTAAGTCTTCCTGGGAGGTTACTTTTGTTGTTCCCACCTTAATGGCCATGACCAGCCTCACCTGGGGCCTCTACCCACCCCTCTGCCCATAGGCCATCAATCCTTTCTTGAGTTATGTTTAGGGGTGTTGGTCTCCAGCTCTGCCACAGATATATCTAGCCATGGATGCTGTTGATTTTGATCTGCAGACTGACTACTTGGCTACCATGGAGGTGCCTGATGCTGTGGTCTGTCCCCTCACTGAGGGTGGTAGGATGGGCCTTGGTTGGAGAAACTCATACCTGTCCAAGCCCTATGGGGATTTTCTGTGGGTTCCAGCCCCAAGGCTGCAGCATGGTTACCTGATATTAATTGTTTGATGTTCTGTAGGGAGCAAGATACCTGCAAGAAGATGGAGGCAGTGTGGTTTTGCCAGGAGCACAGAGGAAATGTGCTCATGTTTACCAGGTTCAAAGTTAAATAGGTCCTCACAATCTTAGGACAAGGTTGTATTTCTTCTAAGGCACAGCGGTAATTTATTTCCAGGAGCAAAGATAAATTTGTGTCCATTCCTCCATTCCCTACACCTACATTTAAGGGGTGGAGGTTGGAATCTTTAATGTCCTTGTAAAGTGAAAAACTGCTTTTTTTTTTTTAATGTTTGTTTGGGTTTGGTTTTGCTGCCCCCCCCCCCCCCCCCCAGCCCCAGACCTTCAAATCTGTCTTTTGTTCTCCTGTCATCTGAGGCTTCCCAGCCTGTTGTCTGGAGTCAGCAAGGTATGTTAAGCTAATTTCCTTCCCTTGGGCAGGAATGTTGCAGCACTGGCAAACCCCTTAGTGCTTTTGAAGGGAGTGGTGGGCTCCTTCAGGTGAGCTGCAGCCAGTGTGCTGGGCTATTCTCATCTCTTTTTCTTCCCAGAACTAGGGCATTCTTTTCACAGTACAGCTTCATCCTCCAAGACCTCTCTGTTCTACCTAAGCCTTCCCTGCTGCAGCCGCATTACCTGCATGTATCACACAGGAACTACTGTAGGGGAGAGGTGAGGTTGTATGCATCCAAAGAAAAGCCAGAGCCAATATGCAGATAAGCCGTGGTTTATGCTTTGTGCAAGTCTAATTTGTCTAGAAAACATTGTGGAAAAATCTATTTGATATCTTGACTGCATCCACTCAATATGATCTCTCTAGGCTTGGTGCTATGTCAACTGCATAAGACTTTCAGTAATACTATTTATGCAGGCCTCCCTACTTGGAGTTAGGGCACTAATCCTGCTGCATAGCTCCACAATAAGTAAATGTATAAAATGTGCATTGAGGTCAGAACAAGATGGTTCATTTATGACTGCCAACCCACAGGATTTAGATTCCAAGGTGATACAGACAATACCTGTATAGTCTTTTCATGTTTGCCCCTATTTGATTCCTTTCTTACCACAGGGCTAAATTTGGAAATGTTCTGGATTTGGGTTTCTTTTCAAGACATGGATGCAAAGCCACAATCTCTCTTTTGCTAAAAATAGCAACATATGTATGATTCCATATGGAGTGAATTGTGCTGAGACTTGCACCTGCCAGCTCTAAATTTAATGCTGTAATTCTTTTGACACCTCTGCCTCTGCACAGAAGTGGGAAAGGGGTTTAATGGACTGTAAGCCAGACTGAGTATTTATCACCTTTGCAAACCACTTGTCTATTATTTTTCCCATCAGTCATTTTGAGCATACAGCATTTGGTTTAATTTCACCTGGAAATTTGATGCATATTTGTGGAGAACTCATGTGCTCAGTTAGACACGGAGTGGGCTTATGGCTTTTACAGTGCAGCAACCATGTTTGAAGAGCAGCTATGCAAGGGCTAGTAGAGCAGTGAAGCTGATGCAACAAGCTGAGAAACCACTTGCCTTCCTTGCAGGGCTTATGGCTTTTACAGTGCAGCAACCATGTTTGAAGAGCAGCTATGCAAGGGCTAGTAGAGCAGTGAAGCTGATGCAACAAGCTGAGAAACCACTTGCCTTCCTTGCAGCCAACACCTTTATTTGCACAGATGGGGTTCCAGTTTTCATTATGAACGCCCATCAGTCTCTCAGCTCAAGCAGATCCCTTGCTCAGATAAATGTGGTTGATCACTTTTTTTTTAAATGCAATTTTAAAAATGCAATTTTTTTTTAATTATTATTTTTAATTTTAAAATGTTTAAAAAAAAAACAAGCTGAATTTTCTGAGGAATTACAGCAGCAAGATCTGCTGGACAAGACCAGGTCACTTACCAGTAAACTGAGATAAGATCCTCAGCTCTTGCAGATTGTGCTATTGTGACAAATGTTGCTAATCCATTGTCATTTACCTATTCTTGACAGAAATGGAGAGAACAGGGTAAGTTATAACAGTTTTCCACAGCACAGGTCACTTTCTGCCACCCAAAGCTCTATTCGTCCCTCTATGGAGAGCTAGGAGAAATACAACTCTTCCTCTCTCAGCACAGTGCTGTTTAGGAATAGCATCACAAAGACAACATGCATCTGCAGTCCAGGCTGTTTCTCACACCTCCCATGGACACTGTACGTATGGTTAAGGACCGTTTTGCTTCACATTAATGATTTAGCTGATCAGCACATTTCTGCCTGGGGAAGGATGAAATGTTGATTCCCCTGTGGTGATGTGTGATAAATTAAACCAAGCCTCAGTGTTAAAAGAAAAGGATTGTTCCAGACACATGTAAGGTAGAAGGGGAAAAGGAATAGCTGAGCTTTGAAGATGAAATAGCAACAATATAGAGAAAAGGAGAGTTATAAACTATATTACACACACACACACATATATATAAACTATATATAATTAGCTGGTTGCTTCCAGCTAATGCTGGATGGAGGTAATTTTATTCTTTGACACTGAGTTGCTTAAGTATCTAATGGTAAATCCTGGAGTCATTGGCTTTGTGCCACTGCATCTAGAATTGCATTCCACACCTTCAAGGGCTTTTTATGCAGGTAAATGAGAAACTGAGCTTTTGCAGAATTGTGGAGTCAGCATCCTTTTCTGTTTACATTAAACCACTTTTTAGTATAAGGTCATTTAGATATCCTGTTGAAGAGGATCTGTCTCTGAACGTTTCATATCACCAATTTATTGTGCGGGGCCCTGTCATCCTGACTCAGCACAAACACTGAACCAGCAGGAGCAGGAAAACCTATGGAAAAGCTGCCTGCAGGGAGGGAAATGCTGGCAGATTCTTTTGTGTTTGCTCCACTCAAGCTGTTCCACTTGGGAAAGGGTTTCCTTTCCTCAGGTCTGATGGTCAGCAAGGTAGAGACGTAAGAGCTAACTGTGAGCCAGTTCTTGGTCCCTAATACTCACCCCAGGCTTTGTAGTATTATGGCCTCAAGGCAGCTAATAAGGGGATAGTTTGGCTTGCAGCTGTACAGTGAAAGTTATTTAATATGAGTTGTCATTGTCTATGACCTTTAGTTTTGGCTTATCCACTGAGAGGGGAAGGGGGTGACTTTTCCCAAAGATGGAACCACTGGAATGAAAGGGAAGAGAAGGAGATAGCTGACCTTCTTAAAGCAAAAGGAATTAATGACAAAAAAGACATTTTATAGGAGCCTACAAGCTCCTGAGTCCACCAAGCATTTTATGCCTTATGGGAAATGAAGAGAGCCTTCACAGAAATTTAGCTTGGGAAATTCAGTTAGATCATCTCAACTCTGGAATGCATCTTCAATTCATTTCAGGTCCTGGGAATAGTAGGCAGATTCTTTACTGTAAATTTGACAAAGCTCTGTGATCACATTTTAGTGATAATTTTTTACTTTTAGCTGTTTCCAAAAAGCCTGAAGGTTTTATTAGCTAATGCATGAGTTTCTGTCTCTAATAATTTTAGAATCTGTTGGCTGATGTCATGTATACTTGACAGCCAGAGAATTAGAAAGCATATACTGAACCTTTGATTTGCAAACTGCCTAATGGATGATTTGCTTGGTCAGCAACTATGGTATTTAATAGCAATCAGATCCTCAAGACACCATGATTTGCATGAACAAAGGAACAATGTACTGAGACCCTGCAGGTTCTAGAAACAAAACCTGAGCAAGCTGATAATACAGAAAATCATCACAAAAAAGGCATGCTTAGGGCAGAATGCGCTGCAAAGTGCATAGCCTGGTACAGACAGGTGCTCTGCCTGATGATGAGACTGGAGCAGCAGCTAGCTGAGAAAGGTCTGGAAAGGAAAATCTCAATTCAGACAGTGAGGAGAAACATTCAGCAGTTGGGATGGTGAAGCACTAATACATATAACCAAGGAAGGAGTCGAGTCTCATGTGTGGGAGCGCTGCTAAATAGGTATCAGTGAGGAATCACAGTATCACAGTATCACAGTATGTTAGAGATTGGAAGGGACCTCGAAAGATCATCTAGTCCAATCCCCCTGCCGGAGCAGGAACACCTAGATAATGTTACACAGGAATGCGTCCAGGCGGGTTTTGAATGTCTCCAGGGAAGGAGACTCCACAACCTCCCTGGGCAGCCTGTTCCAGTGTTCCGTCACCCTCACTGAGAAGAAGTTTCTTCTCAAGAAAGTCTTCTCTAGAATAGCTAGAGAAAAAGCTCTTCAAACCCTCTGATCTTCTATCGCAGACCTTGTTGGACTTCCTGAGTAAAAGCTGAGGCAGAGTCAAATGCAGAGCAGGAATTTCTGACTGTGGAGAAAGTCCTCCCTGTTTGAGGAATCTTTGCAGGTGGTAGAGGTGACAGATGGCATAACCCTGGGCCCAACCCTTATCTGAATGGACTTAGCTATAAAAGTGATTTGGAGTCTTGTGCATGGGAGAATATTTGGCTCTTGTCAATGCAGCAGCCTCCTTATTGCCTCCCCTAGGCCACCATCCTTCTTTCTGTATGCGGAAGAGGGATTGTGAGTCCGGTGTATATCAGCTTTTAGAAAATTATGGTTTTGCCTTATCTTTTACCAAATATAGCCATATGAGCTCTGCAGCAAGTAAAAGATGCTCGTAGAAAGTGACATTCTGTGGTGCTTTGTGGTGTGCTGGTCTAATTCATTTAGCCTACTTGACAGCTAACCTCTTTGGGAGGCCTCAGCATCAAACTCCAAACCCTCTTTATCAGCAGAGGGGGCATAGTCATTAACCCAAGCGAGGGCCCTCCAGCTTGCTGCCAGACTCCACGTGCTCACCCGCTGTGAGTCAGGCTTCCAAGGCAGGATGAAATAACAGAACTGGTGAGTTGGAAGCCTGTCTCTGAGACCCGTTTGGCTTGCACCAAGCAGCAGCTCAGTACACCAAGCTGTTTGTTTGCTAGAGTTCACGTATTTGCAGAGCGAGCCTGATTTCTTGGGATTGGGCACTAAGATGCTTACTTTATTACCCAGGACTCTGTCATCAAGGCTGGCTGTATTTGATACAGTTGAGCGTTTTGTCAGGCTGTTGCTTGTTCTGTCAGAGGTGAACTATAAATACACGCATGCTTCTGCGTTTCCCTATCTCTCACTCTGTAAGAGGAAATGGGCTTGTTTTCATGTGATTAGCAGGCAGAGGAACTTGTGAAAGTGACACAGCTGTACTGTAAAAATGCCAGCCCACAGACTTTGCTGCCAGAAGAACTTGACTGCCAGCGCTGATAGACCGGAGAACGGGATTGCCTGAGACATGGAGCGAGAACCGATGCGTATAAGGGAGGGGTACTTGGTTAAGAAGGTAAGGGGGGGAGCTTTGGACTGAGTGGAGGAGGAAGCTAACTCTGAACAGGTTGGGGAGGTGTAGGAAAACATACTTTGGTTTCAGTTATTAAAAAAAGGATATTTTTTTTTACCAAAAAGAAAAGGCAAATGAACAGAATTCCTTGACCAGTGTGGTGTTAGTGATCATACAGATACTTGCTAGCAGTTTTATCTTGTCAGAATAGTACATAAGGCATTTTGTGCATATCTTGGATGTACCTTTGGATCAAAAGATTTGTATTTTTATTAAGTAATCTAATGCCCAGAGTGGAAGCCTGGCAAGACAGGTAGCAGCTTGAAATGGACATAGGCTACTCAACTGCACTTAATTGCTGAGTTAAATAGCAAGGAAGCATAATGAGATCACAGAGGTCGTATCACTTTGGCCTCGAGGCACTCTGTGGGGCCACAGGTTCCTTTGCAGAGAGGGAAGGCCATTTGTCACTGACTTTCTCCTCTTGATATTTACATTAGGGTGGGGAACAGTGCTGTGCTTGGGGGTCAGTGGTTTAGTTTGGACTATGTGACCTCCAAGAAGTATGAGTTCACCCCTGAAGGGGTTTTAGGTCAGCTTAAACTTCTATATTTTTGGGGACTTTGTGTCATCTGAGCCTAAGAAACAGCTAATTTTCTGCTATTGTAGTGCAGCAGATGTTATAAAAAATTGTTCTACCAAGGGGAAGTTTTGTGTGTTCTTAAAGTAGCTAATGATTTCATAGAGCAATTCAAGGAAAACCTGTCTGTGTCTGCAGTCTTTGGAGTAGGTGTGACAGCTTGATTTTTAGTCCAGGAAAAGCTTGCTTATCTTTCTAGATGAGAACAATGTGATCATGTTTGGGTTTGCTGATGATGTGCGTCTGAGACTGCCAGTCTTCACACTGCTCTGCAGCGGCTTCCATTGGTAGAGCATGTCAGAGTCTGGGCTTTAGGAAGTGCTGGACTTGTCTGTTTATGAGCAGAAATACTGCTTATGGTAAACCCACAAACAAAAGGAGATTGCAACAGTTCTTGCCCTGGCCCATTGTCTTAATTTATTTCTTAGCAGAAAATTGACCAGTGAGTTAATTTAGACTCTCAAATAATGGTAAATTCTTATTGCTTATTAAATATACAGAATCAAAAGCAAACGGCAGTCAGCCCGTATGCAGATGAGGCTCTTGCAGTTCCCTTTTTGGAAGTCACATAGTCCACGCTAAAGCACTGACTCCTAAGCACAGCACTGTTCCCCACCCTAACGTAAATATCAAGAGGAGAAGGTCAGTGACAAATGGTCTTCACCCTCTGCAAAGGGCCCTGTGGCTGCATGATGACTCCTTTAGGAGGTCAAATCCTTGTTTTCACTTTGCGGGCATAATGAAGAGGAGGAAAGTACATAATTAGCATTTGTTGAGCACCTTCTGCCCCTAGTGTGGGCTGCAGAGGCTAGAAGCAAGTCTTGCTCTTAATAAGATCTCAGCTGACGGTTTTCCCTCCTCACTCTGTAACTGAACATAAGGTCTTACTCAAAGGCCGTTCTTGGAAGGTAGGGAAGCAAAAAGGATGTGACAAACGGTTCATCTGGAGAATAATTAAAATAAAAATAAAATAAAGGCTCGGTGTGTTTCTGTCCCATTCACTTCTGCAGAAATACAAAGTGCACATGTAACCATATCTGCCCAGCTTTCAGGTTTACCAAATCAAACCAGGCCATTTTCACAGCGTAACTGTGGCTGCCTTGCTTCTATCTGCAGCTTTAGCATGGCTCAGCCACCAGCATCTGAGGTGGACAGGGATGCAGTGGATGGAGTTGTGGCAGGGGGGGATAAATTTAGGTGTCTCTTTGTAACAGAAAGAGCAAGGGAAGCTAATGTTTTTGAAGGATGGCCTCTGATTTGGGGCCTAAAAATGTTGGTTGCGCCTTGGTAACTCTTCAGAGGAACTGCTGGTATTCAGCATATGTAAATGTTAATTCGGCTGAGTAGTAAGTCACTTGGGTATCTTGGGATTGTGACCCCAACCAGCTTCAAAAGTGGTGGGACCATAGAGGACACCTAGCTAGAATGCACCAGTCTTAGTAATTTTAGCAGTTAATCATGCTCAACACAGAGAAATGGGTTGTTCCTCTCTGAGACCCTTAGAATTTTGCTGTGTTTCACTATATGTAGGATCTGGCCCTATCTTTATCTCTGTATTTCTTGCATCTGACAGCTTTGTTTCAGGAATGGGAAGTAAAAACTTTAAAAGATGAAATGGAGCACTTCAATTCCTCATCATTGGAGATCTGCAGCTGCAGGCCCTTATACTGTTCATTACTCTTACAGTTTGTATCTGTATGTCTAGAAATCCTCTGAGATGTGTGCTTTCTTACTAGACAGCCAGGCCTCAGCAGCTAACTGTATTGTAGCAGCAAGTCCTAAATATTGCAAAGGATGCCCAAGTTAATGAGGCAGTTCTAATGTGCCAGTTCACATCCAGAAATTTTGAGGATTCTTCATAATATTGCCACTATGTCATCTTGAAGACAGTAGCTGGGACTGATACTGAAAAGAAACACCTCCTGGGGCAGGCAGTGTGATTTTTGGACACACTCATGGCTGAGGTGACTACAAGGGTCCAAAAATGGTGGTCAGAAGAATAACAACAGTGCTCCGTAACTGTGTAGTAAGATGGGTGCAGTTGTGCCGTGTTCTCATTGAGACACTAGCTATAGTTATTTTAGCATGTCAGACACTCCCTGGAAGGTCATATCTTCAGTGGGTATCATGCGAAGAGAGTGATTTATTGAACATAATATACACAGTGATTTATTGCAGCAGGGCAGCATGTTTAACACCTGGAAGCCGATGTGGGTCGTGCTGTTAGAAGATGGAATTGAATTCTACAAGCGGAAGGCTGACAATAGCCCCAAAGGGATGGTCCCACTAAAGGGAAGCTCTGTTAACAGCCCATGCCAAGATTTTGGCAAAAGAATGGTAAGTACTTTTTCAATAACAATGAAAAAATTGTGATACAGAAAAGAGATAAATGCTGTGACCCAAATGCCTAAGCAAAGCTTTAATTCCAAGCCGTTTTATTACCATTTGGTGACCCCACACATTTCACATTAATGAAATCTGTAGTAATCACCACTGCATTGTTACTGGTAGGGCTTTTGCAAGTGACTAAGAGTCACATCTACACTCAGAGAGTAAACCCCAAAACTGACCTAGAGAAAGTAGTCCAAATGTTGCCTACATATCTGGGATGTCTTAAAGTCGAAGGTGGCAAGTGCACACACGGGTCCCGCTTCCCAGTAAAACACACAGATGACTGTATTCGCAAATTCAGAGTCTTATGTGACAGAAAAAAGATAGATGAAGATAAGTGTACAAACATACATATTTTGTTACAGGGTTCATGCAAAACAGTTGTTGGTAAAACAGGATTTCCAGTATGAGCAAAGAATCCTATCTACAGTCAGGCATTCGTTATTTCAGCAACTCGATTTCATCAAATAGGCATCATACCCTCAAGAATTCCTTTGACAAAGGGGTTCCCCAGAATCTGGAAGATTGTACAATTGCAGTTTAAAGAAGTTTACCACAAGGATACCTGACTGAAGATAGAAGTCTGAGAGCATTAGAAAAATAGAAAGAAAGTGTGAGAGTGCATGAGAGAGAAAGCTGCATTTTCTCATATGAGTGGAGAGAATTATACCTGTCCTTAGGTTTTGTGGTAAGTGGAGTCAGGGTCCCTGGTGTCAGGTTTGGACCTGCTGGGTTTCCTTTTTCTTTCCTTCCGTTTTCTTCTTTCTTTTATTTTTTTTCTTCTTTGTGCAGCCCCCATATTTATATATTAAAAAAGCTGATTCTTACGAAGTCTTTTTGACTTATATGCTTTAAGAAAAAGGGTCTTCTACTTTTTTGAGGCAGTACAAATAAAGTTTGCTGTTAATTCTGTGCTGAGTCAAAGCAGTTGTAGACGGCTGCTTCTCCTGGGAACCAAAGGTTTTAGAGAGCTGTTACCTTGGTAATCCCATCCAAAGCAGGATCATCAAGAGCCGCCTGCTTTTCCTAGCTGTCCGTAGGTGCTGAGAGTTGTCCACAGAAGGAGACTGTATTGATATGCCTGGAAAAGAATTGTGCAATCATGTATTCCCACCCCATGCTCATCATAGGCTTTTTGATCCCTGAGCTGGCAAGGGAGATTGTCCAACTGATTCAGAAGGGTTTGAGACTGACTGCTAGTCAAGCCCATTTACTCTTCCTTATTGCTAACAGCTCCTGTCTGAGCCACCCTTGGCATAGCTGGGCAAACCTTACTGGTTGACCCCTGTAGCTTCAGACCTAACCTTCTGCTTCAGCCAGTGTGGCTGTGTGTCAGTGCATTGCCTGGGCACTGCTGAGAGCCCTCAGTTACAGCACTTGGCTTTACATCTTTTGTAAACCATGGATAATAAAGGCGAAGCAGAATTACATCTAGGGACTAGAGTGCAGGACAGGAACATGAAATTACCAAATAAAGGAACAGAAACTAAGTATATCTGCACACACTTGGTTCTAATTCTGCTGTTTTGAAACCATGTTCCTACATTATCTAATTAACAAGCCTCAGCACAGCACTCTACTTATGAGGTATAATGCATGAGGAGAAGGGTACTGTATCCAAGAGTATCACGCATCCTACATTATAATGGTGGAAGTTAAGTTTTTCTCATGAAGCATTCTTTTCCAAACAGTTTTGTGGGGGTGTTTTTGTTGTTTGTGTTTTTTTTGGTGGTTTTTGTTGTTTGTTTTTTTTTTCCCAGATTGGTTGGTTTGGTTTGGTTTGGGTTTTTTTTTAACTCTTACTGAGGCCCTGACATCACTATTGGTCTATAATAGTTGCTTGGAAACGTCATCAACAGTAACACATTTAACAATAGTGAAAAGATAATTGACCAGCATAGGTACATTCTACAAGTTAGGCAGAGAGGTCTGAAGTGTCTGTTGTCTGCTGAAGGCAGAATGAGAGACAGCCTCACCTGCCCAAAGGGTTGCTTGAAGATGTAGCAGTTAGCAGAAGATGCATTGCATCTGCATCAAAGGGTGATGAAGTCTTTGAGGAGCCTTCCTTTGACTGCAGTGGACATTATGCTTCATTTTACATAATGAGTTTAAATATTGAGATTTACTTTAGGCTTCACTTTAGTTGCTGGGGCTATTTCTGAGGGAGGATATTGAAAAAAGGAAGGATCTCAGACCTGGGGGTTGAGGCACCTAAACCACCTTCTTGTAAGTGAGATCTGATCCAGATCCAGAGTCAGTGGAAGCAATCCAAACAACTTCAGCGGGTGCTGGATCAGATCCTCCTTACTGAGTTGGTGAGACAATTCTGCAATTACATAGACTAATAGCCTTGGAAACATATTGAATTACAATTTGCACTGTTCAAACAGTCGAAACTTCAACATGCTCATTCATATGAATGACACTGTCACTGGGATTGTATACAAGCAATGCCTCTGCATTCCATCCTGCTTTCTCACTGCTTGCATGCCAAAACATATAGTTCTTCCTCTTATGGGAATTATTCTGATTCTTAGTGGTTTGCATACATTTGCTTCATGTAGCTAGAAATTAATGTATATTTTTAGGACAGGAGTTCTGAAGGTGAAAAGTGGGATAATTCTTACTAGCCAGTCTCACTCACTTGGACCCAGTTTGGGACAGGGACTATTGAGCCATGAGCAAACTTTTATATTCATTTGGTTAGACTTAAGCTTTTTGAATCAGCTTGTGTATCTGTATCAGGGCCTAGCTTGAAAACTCAGGAGATATCACCAACACACTTTTACTGAATCAGTTGCCAGAAGCAGGTGCTGTGGGGAAAGGAAGCAATCTTGGATTTGTTAAACAGAAATAAATATAACCGGTTCAGAAGAGACTGCATTGAGATTTTGTTTCAAAATGCATTCACCACCATTCTTGATCTGAAGTTTGATCACTGCTTAATGTGATATTAATTCTGCTATGCTTGAGCTTTCTCTGTTTTCTCCATGGCTTTCACGTGGATAACATAATCATGTATAGTTGCTTAGAGTCAGATACATTTGTCCTAATTTAAACCGAAATGTTAGTATTTAGTGCAGTCTAATTGTCTAATTTTCACTAAAGCACAAACAGAAGCACATCATCAGAGGGAGACTCGGTCACTTCTAAGATTGGAGGCTCGACCTTTTTGCTGATTTCAGGGGGAGCCTGGATGTCTAGCTCAGTGGCCTAGCTTTCCAAGAGCTGAAGTTAAGAGAAAGAGCTTTCCCAACCTCCTCTGCGTACTGGGAATAAACTCTTCTTTAGCATTTCACTGTACATTGCTTCTGAGCTCTTTGATTTTGAGATTGTTGATTTTCCCTTTGGTAAAAGCTTGTATTAATGATTTGGTATTTCATTCTGTTAACCTGGTGTATAAGCATGATTCTTGGATATTGGGATTTCATAGGATCATAGAATAGTTAGGGTTGGAAAGGACCTTAAGATCATCTAGTGCCAACCCCCTGCCATGGGCAGGGACACCTTGCACTAATCTGTTTGCTTTTCACAAATGTACCATACATTGCTTTTCAGGATATAGCTCTTTACTGCATAATAGAAAAGGCAGGTGTTGCTGGAAAGATGAATGGTGTCTCATCAGAAATGATTGCTTTTCTTTCTGAAATGGATTTTTCAGGACCCACTGTTTGTAACTTTGATATCTGTCTTCCATGAAAGTCAGTGGGACTTCCACACCATGTCAGGGTGTCAGAATTTTTCACATTGACAACAACCTGGAAGATGCATACTGGGGATGTTCAGAAATGTGCCATTTACAAATGCAGGCTTCAGCAGACTCAGTGCTTTCAGTTCACTGCTGTAGACTCACCACGCTCTGCTCGATGATGATGATAGCCTCTTCTTTACTTGCCCTCATAAAGCCATGCTGTTGGCTTGCTGATTAGCCTGTCACTTTTAGATGCCTGCTGAGACAGAACTTCTTGTACTTACTGTAATACAGCTATGGAACCAATTACAATTCTGCTTATGGAGAACTGTATTTTAGAGGAGGTGGAAACCTCTTGCCTGAGGAATTAGATTCTGATTTTCCATTGAAAAGATCACTGGATGAATATGAGCTCAAACAGTGTGAACTTTGGGCTTGGGTTTTCTTGGTTGTTGTGTTGGATTTTATTTTTCCTTATTTCTTTCCCCCACTTCCCCCTCCTTCCCCAGGTTGGTGTTAATTTTTTTCTGATCAGAATTACCTTTAAAAGATCTTTTCTCATTTTGGGAAATAGTTTTTCCGTTGTTGCTAGTGTGCTTAGATAGGTAGCGATCATAAGATGTAGCCATGGGTGGGATGTACCAAGCCCTTAAAGGTTTGCTAAGCTGATGTGTTCACCTGCTCTCCAGTGTGACTGTGACCTTTTCTCTCCTTGTGAATCAGTAGCTGAGCTACATGAAGTGGGTATTTTTCCCTCCCTCAGACTGACCACATCTTTATAAACAGTAACAGAAATGCACACCCACTGTAAGCCCGCAGGGCTGGGCACTTGAGCCTCTCGGTTGAACTTCCCAGCAAAAGTTAAAATAGGCCACTACACTGGTGCCACTCTCCTTGGCTATAATGACAAGGTCAGGGTCGCCCAGCAGGAAATAACAAGAGTCAGTTTCCTGCACTGCCTGTTCATGCTTTTCTTCAGAGGTTTTTAAATGTAACTGTGGCTGTAAGGCACTTTCAGTAGTCCCTCAGGCACAGGTAGGCTGTGTGTTGTGGTGGTACTGGGGTAACTGTGCCCAACTGGCTACACCAAAGTGACTTCTAAAAGAAACATCATTTATCATTCCAGTTTGTCTTCAAGCTCACCGCAGCCAAGCAGCAGGACCACTTTTTTCAAGCTGCCTACCTGGAGGAGAGAGATGCCTGGGTACGAGATATCAAGAGAGCAATTCATTGCATAGATGGAGGCCAGCGGTTTGCCAGAAAATCCACAAGAAAATCTATCAGACTGCCTGAGACAATCAATTTGAGGTTTGTTCTCATAGCTCTGCTCCCCCTTTTACTTACATCTGCAGGCAGTGTGCCAGATACCGTAACCTCTGTCTGGACAAGCTATGAGCATGTCTGTCCGTGCTACCTCTCTGGCTTCACTCAGTCCTTTCTGCATGACTCAGAATGTGGCAGAAATGAGCTAGTGATCAGAACTGGGAAAATAATTTTCAATGCATCCTCATTTACCAAAACATGCTTATTTATCAAGGGATTTTGCTGATAAGGAGATTTCTGAGCACACTGCAATGGAAGAGGAGACCCCAGCCAAAGTGTGATTCTGCCAGGAGAGGCATTTTTATACAATATATAATCTATTGTAAAAATATTTTAGAGCTTTTGTTTGCTTTCCAGAGGAACGCTGATGTTAGCCTAGGTTTTGGATGCTGAGGGTAGAGTGGCGCTTGCCAGAGAACTTGGAACTGGCAAATGGAGAGGAGATAAAGGTCACACACAGGAAGCCATTTGTTTGTCAGTACTTTAAAATGTTAAGGACAGCTTGCCTCTGAGCAGTAAATATCAAGGTACAGATGAACCTGCAGTGCTCATTATAAGACAGTAAAACTGCACAGGGCCAACATCCAGCTAAATTTCACTTCTCTGCTTCAGCAGGGGATCACCCTGACTCACAGGCTAAAGGACTTAGCATGTGACATTTAATAGTCATCTTTCTTGTCATTCCAGAGCTCCAAGAGTTCTGAGCAAGTGAAAAGCGGATGTGAGGAAGGAAGTCATGCCAGGGCTCACTGAGGTTACTTGGTGCCTCTGAGAGCATGCAGTCTTTGGAGATGTCACAGTGTCAGGTTTTCTGCTCAGCCAAGGACCTTTGGGGGAACATAGTGCAGAGCAGTGAGCTCCTTATTGGCACCAAGGCTGTGGGGCCTGTGAAGATGCCTCAGGAGTGGGTATTCACTGCTGTTCACGCTACATAATTTGTTCCATTCTGGAATCAAGGGGGTGTGGAGAACCACTTGAGCACTTGCCCCTCTGCTCCTCTAGCTGTGACAGAAGCCTCCAGGCTTTGCAACATGAATTTTTCAGGAGATTAAACTAAGCTGTGCTGTAACCCTGCGGAGAGTAATATGCCAGCAAAACATGAAGATCCTGTGAATGACAATGATATTCTTGCACAAACTGGCTAAAGCTTTTTATTTGCTAAGTTTCTGTGGTTCTTTTTATGCACAGTGCTTTGTACCTCTCAATGAAAGATCCTGAAAAGGGAATAAAAGAGTTGAAGCTGGAAAAAGACAAAAAAGTGTACAATCACTGCTTTACCGGTAAGGAACTCTTGTCCTGCTTTTTCATACAACAAAGGGAGCACAGGTTGAGAGGCTATAGATAGATGAAACAGCTCTAAGCTCTGTAGAGCACAGAGAAGTTTAAGAAGAAAGCCTGGCAGATGTTTTTCTGACCAACACTGGAGGTGTTCTAAGGATGAAGCTTGAAAAAGGGTTCAGTTGTGGCCATGGTAAGCAAGAGAAGAGAAAGAAATTTAACCAGTGCCAGAAAGATTGATATAGATCTTTGCAGAAAGTTGCATGAAACACTTAACTCCAGAAGAATTATTCCTTCCTGAAATATTCATCAACAAGCAGTGCCACATTGTCATTTCTGTCTTGCTTTCCATCAAATGGTTTGTGGCTGATGGTGTTTGCTCCTCTGTAACCAGGCACTACTGTGATTGACTGGCTGGTGTCTAGTAACTCCATCCGAAATCGCAAAGAAGGTCTCATGCTTGCCTCTTCCCTCTTGAGTGAAGGCTACCTACAGCCTGCAGAGGATACATCCAAGGCTGCTGCTGAGGGACTGTCAGACACCCCTTTCTTAGATCTCAGCGATGCCTACTATTACTTTGTGAGTGATGCATTCTGTTTTTTAATTGTCTCAGAATTACTAATGCTCTGCTTTTCTCAGGCCTCTTGTTGGGTTTCTTAAGTCCTAGAGGAAAGATTGGGCAGAAACAGAGAGATCTATGTTAATTGCCTTTCTCTATATGATATTCAGAATGAACTGGCTCACTTTAATATTTGTAAGCAGGACATTTTTTTTCTCGTACCCTTCTAAGTGTGAACTGAGTGCTGAGTTTAAGCCGGGTTCTTTATAACTTAGGCTTTGTTCCTGGTAATTTCACCAGTGACCAGGATTTAACCATCAGTTCCTCTGATGATTCAGCGGGAGGCAAGCAAGTAATTCATTATCATGGGGCTTCTTGGAATGACACAAGCTACAAATCCTTTTCTTTCTTTTGTTCAGAGCCATCAAATCTGACTCAGTGCATGTCACACACGCATACACAGCTTGCCTGTGAGCAAAGAAGATTTTAATATCCCCCAGTAACACCTGTCCTGGGTAGTTTACCCAGCCTTTTTGATGTATTGCTTCGAGTTCTGTGGATTGATTTGAAGAACCCACAATATCACAGTCAAATACTGTTTTAAAGATGTTTGGCTTATGAACTTACATTAACAAAAAGTATGCCTTCTGTCACATGAAAATGCTTGAATATGACAATTTTCTTTATATTCACCACATAGAATCACTTGACTTGAGTAAAATGACTCTTCCATTACTTAATTTGTCTTCCTAGAATGTGTCTGTGGCAGGGACACTTTACCTGGGCAGCAATGGAAGCAGAGACACAGTTGATGAAAGCAGCCTTGTGGCCATCACAGTTCCTGGCTACCTGGGACACTTTTAGTAGCCCATGTGTGCTCCCAATATGGTGTGAGGAGACCACAGCAGGTCAACGTCTGACTTGTTATCATACAAGTTGGCAGCACAGATGTTTACTCTAAGCCATATGAATGATTACCTACATTTACATCATTACCATCCTACATTAAGGAGGAGGGAAGCCAAAGAGAAGCCATCTTTGTACATGTACATAGACATGTGGCAGCTGTGTAACTTCTGAATTTTCTCTTGTGGTCGTGCAGCCAGACAGCGGGTTTTTCTGTGATGGAAATTCTAGTGATGATGATGTGGTCCTGAAAGAAGAATTCAGAGGCATAGTAGTCAAACAAGGATGTTTGCTGAAACAGGTCAGTATTGAATGTGTTCCATTTTGTCACTGGGATGATGTTCATTGGATACAGGATTACACTTTTACAACAAAAAGCTTTAGAGAAGGGAGAAACTAGCCTATGCCATCTCCACATTTGATAGGTTAGGTTTCATCTCTGTCCCTCTTGCCTTAGCACAAAGAATGCTTGCTGTAGCATGGCAGCAGGGCTTCTGCCCAACTTTGCAAGGTTTATTGCTCTTACTACAAAATAAGGCAGGTTATAGCTTTAATTAGGAAAGGGTGCTAAAGCAGGAGATGTGACAAGTCATTGGGGAGCTTGGGTAGAAAGGCTGCCAATCCAGTGTCCCTCTGGATACACAACTGGATTCAGTTGCTAGTTTTCACAGGCTTTTTTAGTGTACCTGAGCAAAAAAGTCCTTTCCGTTACTAGTGTTTAATTCTGTCCCATCTGTAAGGTGACAGGTAACTCTATACCTTTCCTTTCCAGCAAAACTTTAAGCAATATGGTGACTGTGATGATAAGACACGTACTTTCCAGGGCAATTGCAAGCAGATATTGGGGAATAGAAGGCAAGACCAGGATTCTTAAATGAAGAGAGTAGTTCAGTTGAAAAGGACCTACAATGATCATCTAGCCCAACTGGCTGACCACCTCAGGATTGACCATAGAATCATAGAATAGTTGGATAGGACCTTAAGATCATCCAGTTCCAACCCCCCTGTCATGGGCAGGGACACCTCACACTAAACCATGTCACCCAAGGCTCTGTCCAACCTGGCCTTGAACACCATCAGGGATGGGTCATTCACAACCTCCCTGGGCAGCCCATTCCAGTGCCTCACCACCCTTAAAGTAAAGAACTTCTTCCTTATATCCAATCTAAACTTCCCCTGTGTAAGTTTGAACCCATTACCCCTTGTCCCGTCACTACAGTTCCTAATGAACTGAAGGTTAAAGCATGTTATTAAGGGCATTGCCCAAATGTCTCTTAAACACTGACAGGCTCGGGGCATTGACAACCTCTTTAGGAAATCTGTTCCAGTGTTTGACCATGTTCTCTGTAAAGAAATGTTTCCTAGTATCAAGTCTGAACCTTCACTGTTCAAACATTCATTGGAAGCCTAAGAAGTTTTTGGTGGTCCTCATTTGTATTTCTATTGCTGAATCAGATTACTCGAAAGAAATAGAAGCAATTAGATACACATCTTTCTGCTTTTACCCTGTCACATTCACAACTGCCTAGTTAGTAAGAACTTCCGTGCAGTGTAGCTAGTTGAGAAACTTGTTTTGAAATGCTCAGAGGAAGTGATTCATGACAGTCTTCCACTAGTGTTGGTCTGGAATTGGTCACCCTCAGTGACCCATGGGTCATTGCTCAGAAGCATTAACACTTCTGCTGAGAAGAGAATGCTTTCAGCAGATCCTGATTTGCCCCACCCATCATTTCAATCTTGGAAACTGCAGTGAGGCATCTGCACCCATGTTGGAAGGTGGAGTTATTTCTGCTTGAGCTTCTCAGCCAGGAAACCTCCCCAGGGTTCTTAAGCCAGATAAGCCTTTTTTGCTGTTGGTTGGTTTTGTCTTGCAGGGAAAGAAGGACCTTCCTTGCCAATAGTTCATAGTACCTTCCTGCAAGACATTTTGCAGCCATGCTTTCTGGCATGCATTCAGACCCAGTTTTCAGACACTTCATGTGAATGGCATGACTACCAGGCTATGAAACGTGTTTAGGGGCATCTCCTGTGTTAAAGCTGTTCTGCTTCATATGACACATAAAAAGTGAAACTGGTGTGAGAGGCCAGTCGTGCAAAAAAGTGGGATGCAGTGAATACTTCCTGTCCAAAATATTCAGCTTTTTTCCTTTTGTATTTGCCTGTTCTCTCTTGGATGGGTAAGCTGACTGTAAGTGCTTGCAGATAAAGTAGTTCACGATATTTCTGGTTTTGAACTTTCCTAGGGACATCGGAGGAAGAACTGGAAAGTGAGAAAGTTTGTTTTAAGAGAGGACCCTGCATATCTTCACTACTATGACCCAGCTGGAGTAAGAGACATTTGGTTTATTTCTTTGTTTGTTTTAAAGCCAGTACCTTATAGACATATCTGAATGGAGTATTTGCGTAGGAATGTGTGATAGGAAAGACCAAGCAGTACTGTGGAGCTGTTTGTGCTCACATGGCCTAACCATCCTCTGGAAAAGCAGGGTGGAGGATGGTTTCTGGGGCTGCCACATCAGGGAGGCAAGTGCCACCCAGATCTGGAAACAGGTAACACTGAACTGTGCTCTCAGCTCTTCTCTGTGATTAATTAGAATTAATGTGTGCTCTCATTTGATTAAAATGAACTAGGTCTTTTTCTGTGTACTGTGACATTGAAAAAAAAAGAAATGCAGTTGGCACAAGGCTCATATTCTTCTCATACGTTTGTTCAGGACATGCTAAATACTCTGCAGATCCTGAATTCCAAATCCCTGAAGAGATTTCCTATTTCCCTCTACAACACCCCCCCATGCTCCATGTCATGCATAGACTGAAGATCCCCTGGTTTCCCACATGACATACCATGTCACCAAATATTTTTGTTTCCATTCTGGTGTTGTAGCCACATATTAACATATGAACAGTCTCAGAAGTGTTGAATTTCATTCTGATTTCATGTCCTCACCAGGGAGAAGAACCACTGGGAGCCATTCACTTGAGAGGCTGTGTGGTGACAGCAGTGGAAGATATGCCTGACTGTAAGGAACCATATTGAATTAGCTGTATAATACATTTTTGGCACATTCTTTCAATCTGCCTGAAATCACAAGTGGTTTTTACTCAAAACCAATCTGTGTGCCATGGTCCAGTAATTCTTCTAGTAACTAGTCTCTCTATTGCTGTCTTAATTACTGGAGAATGGTATTATGGTAAAGGTAGCAAGAGGCAATCTTGTGTTTTGTAAGTTGTTCAGAGAAGACCTGTCAAAAGGATGACACCATCCCTACACTGGGATAACTGGCCTTAGACAGAGTAAGCTGAGTTTGCTTTTTTTAGCTGATGAATTTGGGATGGAACATTTAAGTTAGAAATGGTTATGCCACAAATTGTTATTGTTTGCATTCTGTTCCCTCCCAAAACTAGAAGCTGTGGGAACAGCAATGGCTAAGCATCGCTGCAAGGAACAAGAAACATTCCTTCCATGCATTCTGCTCCCCACAGGAGTGGCAAACTCATACCCAGCAAGGAAGTTCGTTGGCATCTCAGCACCCATGTGGCCTGTGGTAGCAGACATGAAAAGAACCAGAGATTCTGGATGTGATGTGAACTTGAATGTCTTGATTTGTAGCTGGCAAGGCATGGAAGGGTTTCATAAATCATAGACTCGTTAGAGTTGGAAGGGACCTTAAAGAACAGGGGGAATATGGAGAAAATGGGGAATATGACCTGCCTGCAGGATTGCAGACCTTTCCATGGTTGGAGAGCAATTAACCAGAGACTCTTGAAGGTGAAACATGCAGAATTCATGGGTTATTTTCCAAGAGAGACCTATCTCATGGACCCAATCTTGCAATCGGTTTGTGAAGGCCTGATCAGGCTCAGCTTAGAAAGAAAGGAAATCCCCTTATGGTGTGTAAAGGAGGAAACTTTGTAAACACAAGGTACTCTTTCGTATCTTCTGACTTCCCTATTTCTCTTTCCCGTAGCCAAGAAGCATGATGTTGACAATATCCTCTTTGAAATTATCACAGCAAATGATATCCACTATTACTTGCAAGCAGCCTCATCCACAGAGCGTACAGAGTGGATCAAAGCAATTCAGGCAGTTTCTAGGACTGGAAAATGAAGATGAGCTGCCAAGAAGACAGACAACTGAAATTAATAACTTAAAACAGAAATTTCACTGAAAGAAAGCAATATCATCCCAAAAGGCATCCTACGGCTTGTGGGCTGGGGTGAGGGTGGGCAGTAGGGTAAGATACTACAATGCTATAGTGGGCACTAACAAAGTGTCATTTTTCCACTTGTGTTAAGGTAATATTTTACTGAATTGTAGCATAGAACATGCCATAGTAGTGTGTGCTGCTTAGAGTAATCAGTCCTCCTTGGGAAGGTGGTACCTTATACCTTTTTGTGCTGCCACAGCTGGTAGTGAGGATTTCACGATTAACAGGGGACAGAGTCACGTCACTGTGAGAAGCTGAACTTGTCACCACCCAGCCTTTGCTGCATTTCAGTATCTTGAGATATTTCAAAGTCTTCCCAAGACAAACTTTACACTTCCTTCTTTGCTAGATCTTTTTACTGCTTGTTCACCTATGCAAATGATGCCATAGATTTAGAGAAGGAAATCAACTCACTTGGAAACCTGCTCCACTCCTTTATAATCCATCAGTATTAAGGAAAGGAAGAATGAAGACAATTATAGAAACACCTTGTAGAAAGCAAGTACAACTTGATATGATGATGGCTGCATGAGGAAAAGTTTCTTTCCACAGTATTTCAAATATGAAGCAATCTCAGTTCGAGTTCTTTATCTCACCTGATTTTGACCTTTGCTAAATTTCTCCACAAGAATCTGCTCTAGGACCATTGTTTCCCTTCATTTAGATCCCCAAAGCATTTAGTAGGATGTCAGGTACTGCTGATTTGACCTGTATTTGAATTAAATAGAAAGGAGAAAAGAAAGGATCCATGAGTTACCTACTCGAACTACTGATTGAAGTGGGTTTGTTCAGGTTTTTCTTTTTTAACCTCCAGCAACATACTCAGTCCTTGTTTCTGTGCCTTAGTAGTATAAGAGAAACCTTATGCTTGCTGTAACTAAAATAAATGTTATTTGACAAGATCAGTTTACCTGATCAATCCTTCTGGCTGTATGAAGCTTCTAAGTCTAATTTTATGCAGGAGTTGAAATTAAAGTTAATGTCATATTCTGCACGTAGGCTGTTCCTGATGCAGCCTGATGCTTCTGAGTGCAAGTAAACTTCAAAAGTTTTAAAACTCTGCTCCTTGATCTAATCAGGTATTTTGTCCTTAAGAATTCTTATTCAGATCTCTTTAGTCTTAAAAATAAATCTAGATCTAAAGCTTCTCTTCAAGTCTGCTTAATTATACTTGTATCTGAGCTAATGAGCATGAAGGTCTTTTGCCTTAGTAGTGCTTGTCACAAAGGACACACAGCCTTTGAGGGGCAGCAGGCTGACAAGGCCACCACATCGTCATGTCTATTTAAGACATCCAGGGGAAATCAGCTTCTGGCAGGCACTTCCTATATCTCACACAAGCTGACAGGGCTACTGAAGCCTGGTCTGTCATTCTGAGGAAGGAAAACAACTACACTGTTAGCTCAGCCTGCTTTCTTGATAATTGCTTTGTGGTTGCTGCTTATTTTTGCTTTCTGAGCTCACTAACCCCAATACTGTATGGCACAGGAAAACAGATAAAACGTCACACAACCAAACAATGACAACTTGCCCAGGTTAGCAAAGAAGGACTGCAACTCCTAATTTTTAATAAAACTAAAAAGTTTTACCAGTCTCTGACCTTGTCATTTTTCCCTGTGCCCAGTCAAGGGTCCGTCTGCCCACATATGAACTATATTTTCTCTGGTAGGTGATCCTAGTCAGTGTCTTTGTGGAAGAGCTCTGATGTGTGTACCAGACTATAGCAATAGGGTCTCTAACCTGATAGGTAGTTCTTTTGAAGACAGATCACACACAAGGGTTTGTGGGAGTCCCTGCTTCTTGGTGGAAACAGAAGAATTGGAAGTGTATGTCTGATGCCACTCTACCTACATTTCCTGCTATAAATGCTTTCATTTGCCCAAGACTCATACTGGGAGTGGCTCCAAACTGTTCTTCCTTTTAGCCAGGTTCTTATGCATTTCTTGACATCAAGAATTAGCTTTGTATTCTAGGGAGAATGTGCCCTAGTCCATTTTCAGACAGGGCCTGACAAGAAAATCAATACATTTCACAGATCTTTTCTCTCTGATAAGCTCTGCGCAAGGGATGAATCATGGGACAGAGTTATTATGGGGCTAGTTTTCAAAGAGATTTGGTTTCCTAACTCATGGCAGTGCTTTTAAAAAGCAAAGTAGGTACCTGAATACCACCAGCAGTCTGACCTTAGGAGTTCTAAGTGAGATGATGACAGTTGTCACAATCCTTGAACTGAGTCAAGAAAGTTGCTAAGGAGAGAGCTACTGGAGCTAAGGTGATGACCGACTATTGTAATAGATGTCTGTATATGAAAAGAAAAGTACATCACTACAATTTCTAGAGATACTAAATAGATGCTGTCCAGTTCAGTATTTAAAAGCAGCTACAAGTCTAGCATAGATCATGAGGCCAACCTACTTACTCAGAAGGCATAGAAGTGAAGAGACATCTATCCTGAGTACTAGCACAAGAGAAGAGGGAGCAGGCCTACCACAAGGCATTACTAATTGAAAGAGAAAAAACAGAAGAGCAGACCTTCATGCTTCCTCCATCTGTTTTCACCCTCTAACTATTTAAATCACACTTCTGTGCGCTCGGCAATTGATATATCAACATCAGGTCCTTTTTTACTCATAACAGGGATTAGTTCTTTTTTGTAGACTAAAGGGCAAGAAAATAAACCATTGTGGATAAGGACTGTATTTATAATCTTCAATTACTGGAAGACCTGTATGATATAATCTTCTATAAAGGTCCTCTTGGGCTTGTGTTTGACTTGCCACATCTCACACTGAGCAGTTTTCCCTCTACTGGAACTCTGACTGTGTACTTACTACAGTCAGGTTTTTAGGACTGTATGTTAACCATTGCACCCGTGAAAACACTCATGCGGACACATAGCTCCTTCTTCCATGGTTTAAAAGAAAACATGGACAAAACCAAGGGAAAAGCCAACTCCATACACTGAAAAAAATAACATCCATGAGGACTGCAACCACCCAACAAGCTTTCAGCCACAGGTGTTACTTCTTATAATTAAACAAGCACTGCATATGGAAGTAGTTCTGTCTTAATGCATCTTTAGCAGTGGTTTCCAGGAGCTGCTTGCTTTCCCTACTCTGTAGCTTTCTTCTGAATGGTAATGTTAGTATTATTTTGTTGCTAAATGTAATTATCTTGGTGCTGTTCTTTGTAATGTACTGGTTTTGCTTTTTATTTGGGAGTAGTTAACAGTGCTGAAGATCTACTGAAAATGTGGTTTTCGTAATAGAGCAGTTTATTGAGGAATCTTTAATCAAAGTGTCTTCAGAAAGAGAAGAAAAACTGTCAAGGCCTCTGAGGTATGACCGAGTGTGTACTGTCAAGTTTCCCTTTTAGATGAAGTTTTCATTTGTATTTGTTCTTGTAGTATTGCAGATCATTCTTCAGTGCAGTAATACTGCTTCTGTCTTTGAGTTCACCTTGCTCCAAATGTTAAACACCAATAATTTCCTTGTTTGTGTGTTTGCTTCTAATTTGTTCTCAAATACTTCAGAAGTTATTTCACGTTTTAACAACTTGCTCCACAGGGCTCTGGTTAAATGTATTTTTACTGTTTATAAAGTGCTTCTGTTTGTTCAGGCTTGGATAACACCAAAACTAAGAAGCCTGAAAGCTTCCCTTAAATAACCTTTTTGGTGAGACACAGAAACGTTTTAGTAGATTGGGGGTGAGCTGTTGGTTTTTTTGTTGTTTTTCAGTTTGTACATTTTAAAACTGTAGGCGACTATAGGAGGAACTTTAAAAAGCAAAATGAGTAGTCCGCAGTTCTCTGCCATTTGCTGGCAGTCAGTATTTCTGTGGGTGCCTTTAGTCTGCGATTTGAAAGTGCCTGTGAACTGTGGTCTTCTCATTGATGTATCGAGACCTTACCATGCTCAGTGTGAACTTCTGTGTGCAGTAGAAGGCAGGCTTCAAGTTTCTGTCTCCTCTTTGAGTTTTCTGCCTGCTAGCAGGGGAATGTGTGCTCTAGTCTTTTCATCTCTTTTCTTCTCGCCAGCCACCTTTCTTGGAGGAGTTTTGGGGTTTGATAGCTTTGGCATCCTGAGAAAACTGCATGTGCTATGCAATAAATAGTGCCAAGTTCCATAGCCTACCTACTTGAATATTTTTCTAAGTAATGTTAAGTTTGTCCTAAAATAAATAAAGTGGAATATAGGTGTTAATGATGCACCACGACATGCCAGAGGTTCTTTTCAGAAGCTAGGATAAAATAAAATGCAAGGCTGTATGTACAGCCTCTGGTTTGAATGATTGTTTTCAGATAATACCATTAAGTAATTGCATAGTTAGATTATTTAGCCTGTAAAATGAGCAGTTTTCAGTGTAGGAAGTGCCAGATGTTTGCCCTTTAACATCAGAACACAGGATGGATATCTCAGTACTGCTTCTTGTGACCAAGCTTGACAGCAAAGGGTCTTTCTACTGCTTTCTAACCCTTTCTCTGCTACCCAGGAGTGGGGCTCCTGAGTACATCTCTCATATCTTTCCGTGTTACTTGTGTGGCGCTAAGGAACTCGGAGATGACTTAAAAATGGTTGAGGCTGGGTCAGCGTTCTGACCGGTGAAGCGATGGTGCCTTTCCAGCTGACTTTGCCTGCCTACCACACGTGGCTCAGCTGCCCGAGGGAGCCTTTATAATGCTCCCACCAGGCTCCTACAGTGCTGGATTGTAGCCTGAAAGAGGGGAGTGGAAGCAGCTTCAGTAAGAGAATGAGACTTAGTGCAGGCCCATCTGAAAGATGAATGGGGCAGGGGGCTGCCGTGTGTGCTATGAGTTGTTTTTATTGCGTGGGATGATGATACAACTGAAGTCTGAATCTGATGCATGAAGAACAATTTGAATGTGGTTATTTCATCACTTTCTGAAGGTATTTTAGGAACTGCTTTTCCTCTTGAGATGGTGGGGTGGGGATCTACAAGCCAAGCAAGCAAAATACACCCTTCAGAAATCTCCCACTGAAAACAAGGTTTTTCTTTTGCTGTTGCTCATGAGATTTCTTGAAACAGAGTTTCTCATTTGGCCTCAAAATAAGCTTCCCCCCCCCCCCCCCCCGATGAGCACAAAGAACTTCCTGCTTCACATTTAAACCAAAACTGTGGCTTTCCACACTTTGTATCTGGTTCTTGTAGATTGCTTAATTTTTCCCCCCCTTCAGTTTGGTTGAAGGGAGAGTAAAACCATGTGTGAGAGCTGAGGAAAATGCTGCTTTTCGTACTTCATTGGACTTCCACTGTAAGTGTACTGGGGTGTAGTAAAACTTTTTGTCTTCCCTGCATAAGCTGCTTTTTCTTTTTCTTATGATGGTAACACATTTCCCTCTTTTTCCATCCCTGAGAAAGGCCTGAGAAGGAGGGAGAAAAGGAATTGAAGGCAAATGGTCATGAAACTGATGGATTTCTGTTTCATGCAGTTGAAAGGGAGGGGAAAATATGTTAGTAAGTTTGAAAATTTGCCTTCAGTATGTCTTTCACCAACATCTTGGATATTCATAAACCAGAGTGATCAAGGGAGAGGAGGAGGGACTGGGGGTTGACTAGTTTAATGAAAAAAAACCAACCCTAAATTAAGAAATCTAAAACTAGATACCCCAATTTTCCCAAATCCTCAAACCCAGAGATTAAAAGGACATTGAGAAAGTTCTTAGTGTATTGCCGTTGGCCCCTTTCTCCTTATGAAACATACTAGAACCTATTGCAGTTCGATAAGAGTATCAGTTATAAAAATCGGTGTATAATCACTCTCCTCATCTACCTGCTTCCACATCATAAGGAAAAGACTGAGAATCCTTTCTTGAACACTAAGTATATTAAAAAAACCCAAGAAACTTTCCTTTTTATCCTTCATTGCTTCTGCTACGTGTGTATGCAAGTGTCCTGCTTTTGAAGGCTTAAATTGCTGTGTCTCGCTCATATGTGATGGTGAAAGTACAGTAACAGAGTCAATATGCATGCATGCAATATTTTTTAATAATAGGAAGGTTTGTTTGGATCAGTTTTTAACCCTCCTATGAAGTTTTCTGATTAATAAAAGGAATTATTTCATCATTCTAGTACATAAGTTGTAAAATAAGGTTGGTTTCTTTTGTGGTTTGTTTTTTCTTTTTTTTTCCTTTTTTAACTTAATATTTTTACTTGAAGGCTTCCACCGCTGCCCCCGTTCCATGTTACATCTTCCCTCCACAACATCTCTTTTTCCTTAAAGCTATTTTAACCTAAGCTTTCTAACATAAAAAGCAAGCATGTAGCTCTGCTTCTTAGGCATCATAGAGTGGAACTCACGTACATAAACATAAATGCCTAGTGGCATTTTAGATGTGCTACAGCATGCCAAGTGGTCTCTGGTCACCCCTTTAGAACAGCAAAAACTTCCTCTCATCTCATACCTACGTGCTTTGTATAGATGTTTGGTTACATTATGGATATTAAGTGCTGTTACAGTCTCCTTATTTAAGTATTAGAGGAGCCCCCAACATTATTGTCTCTAAGTATGTGTGTTGATAAAAGTTGCATGTTAGAATGGCTTTAAAGAGCAGTATAATTAAGACAAAATTGTCTAAAGACTAGTTCAAAAATAAAGGTGTCATTAGAAAAGTTGGTTTGGTCAGCCACGTGTGATGAAGCTTGAGGCAAGCTTCTGTTATTGGCTGTACTGTCAAATGGCTGTATATACTATATCTTGTGAAACCTAGGTGTTGGGAACGCCTAGCTAAATTTGTACAGCACTCTTGTTCTTTAGCATTGTGACAGAAAAATAGCTATTGAAAACAGTCTCTCAGTTGAACAGATGAATAAAGTTCTCCCAGGATACTGTCATATTTCATTTATTAGCTGTAAGATACTGCTGATACAGAAAAATATTTTGCTTTTCTCAACATATTTTTTTCCTCTGTTAGGATTAAAGGCCTGAGGTGGCCGATTTGTTTGAGGTTTTTCCCCCTGTTCCCAGCTATACCTGCAATTCAGCCTTCAAGCTGAATCCTCCAATAGGTGGCTGGTAGCATCTTGTGGTGTTTTCTGCTTGGTGTTCTGAGATCACTCAGACATTTAAAAGCAATATTTAGTGCTAGGGCTAATACTTCATCTGATGGCTGATGGTGTCCTGTGGCATCTGGAGAAGTCTTTGTGTAGAGCTTCAAGTGTCTGGCATCTCAGCCACAAAGCAACCTCTGCAGTTGATGCTTCCACATCTGCAAGCAGTGGCTCCTTTGCCTGTTAAGATTTTTAAGGGCCACGTATTAAAACCAGCACGTGCCATTCTAACAATATGTTTAAATATGGAACAAAATAAGCTCATGTTGTACCTAATTTGCACACTGTAGTAGGCTGGTTTTTATTCCAACCCCCCCAGCTTTGTAAATCCAGGGTTGCTGGACAGGGGTGGCAGTGTTGTACAGGACAGTTCTGAGGGGCTGCAGGTAACTGCTGCTACATAGAATTGTCCTCTAGGGTTTTATCTTGGTGGGTCTCCCAGGACCTCCAAGTTTGCTGTCCATCACCTCTTTCCTTCTCCCCCTTCTAGCCACAGTTGTAGCTCGGGTTTTTTTGGTTTACCAGAATAGCTGCAATGGGTCTAGCCCTTAGCAGAGCCCTGAAAAAAAAACACCCAAACCAAAACACCACTAACCCCCAGTTTCTAGCATTGCTGTGCTGATCAGAACCAGCTGCTGATGTGGTGTTAAATGCAGCAGGTGATTCCTTCCAGGGTTTTAGGGACAGGCATTTCCAAACAAGCAATATGCTGAAAAACAACCATGAAGTTGCTTCAGCAACTCCTGCGAATCTGATAGGCCTCTACCCAAGTTCATTTGGAGAGAAAATAATAACACCACGACTACCAAAATCCTTCCATCTGTATGCTTTTATGGCCCTTCTGTCAGCTTTGGTGGGCTGAAGGAGCCAATCCTAGTTCTGAGCCCAACTATTCTGTCTTCAGTTGGGATAACTCTGCCACTTGGTACCTTTTAGAGATGACAAGGATAAAGACCACGGACACTAGTACCAGCCTATCAGCAGAAACACTTCTTTTGACAAGATTAGCTTTGAGTGGTCTAATGGAGAAAAGCCTGTGGTGATTAAACACTTCATGCTTTCTTTTTCATTTAGTGTGGCTGTTAATGGCAATGGCCCAAAGCTACATCCTGCACCAAGGTGCAATAAAGCCACACTGTCAGCTCCTCCCTTCAGAAATGGAGCACTGCAAAACTGAGTAGTTGCAAGGAAGGCTCTAACACCACATTCGGGTTTGGAAATACAGAAGTAACATACTCGGGTTGAGCTTCAATGCTGGGCATTTTGATGTCCAGCTGTGTGCAGCAGCTTGGGACATTTTATACAGCAGGGGAGCTTTTTTTTCATACCAGAAGCCAGGCTGTTTTAAGCTCATGTTTAAGCCATGTGCGGTGTGTGAGTGGAGGACATCCTAATTGCTCTGCACCACATAAGCTTCATTTGCTCTCTTGAGATGCCTCTCTGTCTTTGGAAAGCTGGATGGCAGAAGGTGAACGGCAGGAAGGCTGTGTGACTAATGGGATGCCTGGGTGATGGATGTCTTGGGCACCTTTCTGCAGCTGCCACCTTCTGAGTAGGAGGGTAGAAGTGGTGTATGAGTGCAGTGGGAAGGTCAGTGGGGTTTGTTAAAGCAGAACTCGCCACTTCCTCAAAAACTTGTGGGTAAGAGAGCTGGGAACTGAAGCACAAAAAGGGTTTCACCAGCCACCTAGGTGTGAGGGTAGCTGTGGCATGTCCTGGAGTAGCAGGTGAGCTTTGAGGGTTTGTGTGGCCTTGGCTGCTCTCTGGGGAAGGATACCTATGCATTAGTGATAATCTAGGACCAATACAATCTTCCTGTTGCTGTAATTTCTGCGGTTTTGATTCAGAGGTAGGAGAGGAAAAAGATGAACCTAAACTACATGGTGTAGGAAGTGCCACTGTTTGGAGTGATGGATGCTGTTGGGGTGTCTTTGAGGGGAAGAGAGCACATCCAGCCTGCAGGAGAGCTGAGAGGCTGAGTAGGTGGTGCAGAGACAGAGAGGGCTAGAACAAAAGACCAGAACTGAGGTAATGAAATTTCCAAGGGGAATGAAATCCCCTAAAGGAGGGGATCAGCATGGGGAGAAGGGAAACAAACTTTGTTTTAGTGATAACTTGTCCTTAAATACTTGGGTCTTTTTCTTTCAGTAATAGGTTTTTTTAATGAGAAACTTACACCACTGCTACTCCTTGTTTAGAGATCCAGGCCTTGTCTAATTGCATAGCTGAGTGTTTAATTCCTTGTGTGTTTAAAGAGGTACAGCCACCTGATCTGGACAGAGGTAGAGGCATGACAGATACTGATAATTACTGTGCTCGTATGAGAAGGGGGAAAAGCTACAGCGAAGTGTAGCTGTGTTAGGATTTATACCAGAATAATTATTCTATTTAAAAATTGTATCATGGGACATGATACATGAGAACTGGTATATACATGATAATATACTGACATATACATGAGAACTGACAGCTGAGGGGCAGGAAAGGAGCAGGAAGAGGGGATAGATGTCTGGAAGCTAGAGACTGGAGGTAACAGGAAGCTGGGTGAGAAGGGTGAAGAACTAGATCCATGATTGTGCTCTTTTCTTGTCTTATAAATAAGACATTGGGCACTCCTGAGGTGATGAGAATGCACTGCTTCAATTATTTTCTTCTTTATTAATTTATATGCACTGTTGTTTTCACTTCTATCTCTCTTAAAGTCAGGATAAAAAGATACTGTAAGCAGGTGGTAAGGCAGCACCTTTAGTGGAAAAACTTGTGCTTATGTGTGGTGTGTGTTGAGTGTTTTATTTGAGCTAACTAGATATAACCTACGAGCAGAATTACTAATAATAAAGGAAGCAGTGTTTGCAATTCATTGAGAGCTGTGCTGCACCCACTATATTTGGCTATGTTCTTTATTCTGTGTTACCCTTCAGCCATGTTTGGCAGCAGGGTGGTATCAGAAGCTTCAGTGAATTTTGGATGCTGTTTCCATTTTGGCTAATGTAGTAGTTGTCCCACAAGAACAGCGTCAACTCTTTTGGCAGTAAAGGGAGATACCATGCATCTTTATACAACCTAAAGCAATGGGATCCTGATACTGGGACTAACACCTATAAAGAATGAATTGCAGAAGATGTGTAAGAAACATTATGCAGTCGTTGCATCATATTATTGTCACATAATATTGTGGCTGAGAAAGCTCTCTTAATTAGATATGTTACTCATGATTTAGAAAAGGTCCTGGTGCTTATGAACTGAAAGTCTGTTCTAATGGGGAAAATGTACCAGGCTAAGAGAAGTGGATCAGTTTTGATGAAATCTGTTGAATGTTACAAACTAGAAAAGGGAACACAGATAACGTACTCTTCTTGGAAGCATTTTAGAACTGCCAGTTTCATCTGGCTGTTCTGTTTCTTCCTTAGCCTGGAGAGATGGGTGCCTACAACAAACAGCCTGTGAGCCCACACACTTGCAATAAAGGGGAGTAAAAAATACTAGATATTTTCACCGATATTCTGCAACAGTTAAATAATGGTGAGCAAATAAAAATGGATAAGTTGTAAGCAAGTTTAAACTAATGGTTTTGTTTAACCACCAGCATCATTGAACAAAAACACCCGATATTGGATGGTAGCCCAGATGACCACGGTTTGTATTTTCAGACCAGAACTGCTCTACTGCTCCATCTAGCGTTTTTTGGCCCTGTTAAAAGTCAGGGCTGGACCTAATTTTGAATAAACTCGGTATCCGACAGGGGCCTGATCTAGTGCCATTGAATTTCATACTCATGACAAGACATTTCTCTCCTTACATTGCCAGACAGTCCTCTGCCAAAGTCCACAATAGTTGATTTGAAATCACTTCACATTAACTAAGTTTCATAACTATGGTAGAAATCTTGTGTCCTCAACATAAAAAGGACATGGAATTGTTGGAACTAGTCCAGAGGAGGCCACGAGGATGATCAGGGGACTGGAGCACCTCCCGTATGAAGACAGGCTGAGAAAGTTGGGGCTGTTCAACCTGGAGAAGAGAAGGCTGCGTGGAGACCTCATAGCAGCCTTCCAGTATCTGAAGAGGGCCTGTAAGGATGCTGGGGAGGGACTCTTCATTAGGGACTGTAGTGACAGGACAAGGGGTAACAGGTTCAAACTTAAACAGGGGAAGTTTAGATTGGATATAAGGAAGAAGTTCTTAACTGTGAGGGTGGTGAGGCACTGGAATGGGTTGCCCAGGGAAGTTGTGAATGCTCCATCCCTGGCAGTGCTCAAGGCCAGGTTGGATGAGGTCTTGGGTGAGATGGTTTAGTGTGAGGTGTCCCTGCCCACGGCAGGGTGTTGGAACTTGATGATCTTAAGGTCCTTTCCAACCCTAACTATTCTATGATTCTATCTTCCTACAGAGAATTAGTCCCAGATTGGTGACTGAATTTTGTAGGAATAACTCCAGCAATAGGGACCTTCAAAGCGTTTTCCTTCTTAATTTACTCTTTAGTGCAAAGTAAGTAGGGAAAGGTGATATTTAAATGGAATTGTAGTAAGTTGGTTTTGTGGTGACTTCCATGTTGTGCAATGTGACAGGCATCTCCTCTTTTACTAGCAGCATTTTTTAAAGTCTGTACTAAAAATCAGTGCTGGTAAAGCAGGGCTCATGTGATGGGAGATGCAGGAAAAACTAAGTTTCTGAATGTCTTTTAGCCTAACTACAAAAATATATGATGTTGTGTTATCTCTCATGGTTATCTGACTTGTTTTATTTAAAGTAGTAAATTCTGCTCTACTCCTCCTCATGCAAATGACTGAAGTGCAGAGAGGCTGTAAATTACGTGGCTGCTTCAGTCCTGCCTGGTGCCTGGACCTATCAGTTCTAATCCAGAAATCCCACAGTGGAAATGCAGCACTGCTGAACACTGACACTTCCGCACTTCAGTGGATACAGGTTCAGAGAAGGGCTCTGTACAGCGGGGATGTTCAGCTGATCCTGAGGTGGCTGCCTTGTCCTTTTCTTTCCAATGTCTGGATTTGCCCCTTCCCCAGCCTGCCTTCATGGGCTCTCATGTTGTGCTGCTGGTACAATATGCTTCAAGTCAAACACACATCTTTTTGGTAAAAGTCATCTCTTCCAACATAAAAAGTGCAAACTGAAATAAAAAGTGCAATTAACATCTTTTTGACCATACAGCAGAACATTACATTTACATATATAAAATAACAACTGAATATTTAGTCTTACTTAGAATTCTACAGAAAAATAATCAGATAAAGTGCAAATAAAAAATATGCAAAACTTTTTTTTTTTTTAGAAGCCTTCATCATATGTTTGCAAACAACTGATTTTGAGCAGCAAAATATTTACAGTTTGGCAGTCTGTGAGTTGTTGATAGAAGGTTCTTAAGTTGCTAGAACAAGCACTGGTTTTTCATCTCTCAAGTTCTGCTTCCAGGATTTCTCCCCATGTGTCAACGTCCATGGGATACATGCTTTTCTCTGGCAAGCTGTTCCGTGAAGGAATGTTGCTGTATTTCCCACTCAGCCATTCTTGCTTCACTTTGCTTTTCCAGTAGTTTCTCAGTAACGTGATCTGATGGAAAAACACACAGCGCAAGTCTTGGAAATGAACTGATTTCAGCTGCATTTCAATGCAAGTAAGTTTTTGCATTGGAAGAGTAATGCTAGAAAAAGGATTTGAAACATGTCTTTGGATATCTAGACTAAGCCCAGGAAGGTATGCTGCTTCCAAGAAGCAGACCTTCATCTATTTCCAACTTTTCTGTTCTAAGTTGGGTGGAGAACCACTTCTTGCCTTAATTCTTTGAAGGTCAAGATGAAAACCCTAAACCAGGAATTCGTCTTCTTCCTTACTCCTTAAAAGAGATGCCTTTCACTTTCTCTTCCTATTGAGGTTACTTGTGACCTCTAACTCATTTGGGCTCTTAATGCAGGCTGGCTGGTTTCTTCTCTTCAGCCTTTACTGCAGCCTTTTGTTGCAAGAAAACTGTCTTCAACCTTTTAGTACAAGAAGATGCTGATCTTGTGTGTTTGTTCCTTCTACTTCAAATCCCCACCAGGTAAGACACAGAATCAGTACAGGTAGTTCTGGAAATTCCTGTGCAAGAGTAGCAAGATCTGTGCATTCAAAAGGCAACCACTACCTGTTCATGGCTTTGCCTCATACTGAAACACCTCTACATGTGAGAGTACAGAACTAGGTTGTTTTGGGTTTGGGTTTTCCTTTTTTTGCTGCTGCATCTCTCTTTTCACCCCCCCATGGTCCCCCTGCTCTCAAACACACCAGCTAAAACAAGGTGGGGAATCACAGTCTAGCTGGTCCAGAGTAGTAACTGTGAAACCTTTCCCTTCCTGATCTACTTCAGCTTGCAGGCTGCGATAGATCTTCCAGTGTGATCAGCTCTGAACTTCTCAGAGCAGCTGTAACTGGGAGTGTGTGTGGGGAGTTTCAAAACAGCTTCTAGCAGCTTCTCCTTGTTTCCTTGTCTCTACCCTAATTTTTTTTTTTTTTTTTTCCTCCTGGATGCATGTTGCTTAAGGTGTACTGAAGCAGAGCTACCCAAGATACAACTCTGGGAAGTCATTCCTCACCAGAACTATTCCCATCAAATGCAACCAGAGAGCACATACTGCCAAGTGGGGGTATGTTGTCTTCTATCCCCCAGCCCTGCCTACAGAAATGCGGGCTTTCTTCCATGCTAGGGCTGTGCAGACTTTGATGTAATGAGTCACAGAACCATAGAATGGTTTGGGTTGGAAGGCACCTTAAAGCTCATCCAGTTCCAACCCCCCTGCCACAGGCAGGGACTCCTTCCACTAGACCAGGTCGCTCAAAGCCCTGTCCAACCTGGCTCTGACCACTGCCAGGGATGGGGCATCCACAGCATGCTGAGGCTGTGTGGGGTGGCGAGGACTAAACGGAGCAATCTCAGCTGGCCAGATGTGGTCGTGGGCAGGAAGCAGGTCAGCCTGGACTCATCCCTGTGTGCATTTTACCAGATGTCCAGCTGTTGGGATGCACTACCGAGCCACGCTGTGATGACAGCGGTTCTCCCATTACCCTGCGACAGACGAGCTCTGCTGAAGTAACGTGACACGCTTTTATTGCCAATCCCAGAAGCCTCGACGCTGCCGACACGCCGTCGCTGGCGTTACCTTTACCTTCCAGGAATATCCGTTTCCTCGGTCGCAGTCGATCTCCCGCTGGCACACAGCCCGCACGCTCAGGCAGTGGTGTCTCCATAGGCGGTCGTTGCTCTCGATGACGCGGTGCCAGCCCTTGCATGTCGCGGACGCGTGACACAAGCTCTCAACGTCGAGGTCGCTGAAAATCCGGGAGCTGACCTCCGCTGGGAGGAGAGCCACGAAGTCAGCCGGGCCTCCCCCTCCTCGGCCGGAGGGGAGGAGCGCGGGTCCGTCGGCGGCAGCGCGTTCCCCGTCCATCTCCGGGGCGCGGAGGGCACCCCCCCCGTCACGGCGGGTTGCCGCGGTGACCCGCGGGGCCCGGGCCCGGGCCCGGTTCCGCCGGCATGGCGCTGAGCCTGCCCGCCGCCGCGGGGTGCCCGCGTGTCTCGGGGTGCCGCTGTTCGTGTTCTGAGGCGAGTCCTTCCGCTTCCCGCCTCGGCCGCCGCAGGTCATGTGACGGAGCGTCCCTGCGTCACCCGCCGGCGCGCCGGGACCCTCAGGAGTGTGGCGGTGGCGGCCTCGGCCGTGCCGCGTCCCGTCCCGTCCCGGTACCCCCGAGGTGAGGCCGGTCCCGCCGCTGAACGCACCGCGCTACCGGTGCATCGCTTCGCGGCCTCCGCTCCCAGCGGCCGGGCTGCGGCCTTCCCCCCACCTCGGCCTGCCGTGTGGCGTAGGGCGCGTCTCCTGGCCCTGCCGCGGGCTGCTCCCGGCCGAGGTCAGGGTGGTTTTGTGTCTCGATCCACCGTATTCGGAGGGGCACACGGCAGGGCTGGAGCCCGTGCAGCACCGTCACCTCTTCCGTCACCACACAACCGGAGGGGCCTGTTGTGTGGGGGCGCTGCTTGGTCGCTTGTGTTCCTCTTCAGGAGGCAGCGAACAGCGCGGCCGATCAGTGTGTGCCTTGCCTGTAACGCAGGAAGCTGTGGAAGGGGCTCCCGAGTGGCGCTGTGCGGTGCGTACAGCAGTAATTAAACATACAGACGAGATATTAAGAAAGAATTCTGCGCTGTGAGGGTGGTGAGACACGGGCACAGGGTGCCCAGAGAAGCTGTGGCTGCCCTGGAAATGTTCAAGGCCAGGTTGGATGGGGCTTGGGGCAGCCTGGTCTAGTGGAACGTGTCCCTGCCCATAGTAGGTGACTGTAATGTGAATTGTCGAGTGGAAGGGTAAAGGGTTGAAGGGAAAACAGTTGCAGTTTTGGTGCGCTTTCAGGTGAGGTGGCTCTGAACTGAGGCTTTTAAAACCAGCACTTGAGTGTGTGATGGCACCTCACAGCTGCAGAATTGTAACCCTTAGTGAGGGCTAGACAAGAAGTGCTGGATTCATTGTGCGGCTGATCCTGAAAACTGGGTCTCAATGTTGTTATCTCACTTTTATTGTAGAATCCAATTCTGGGAACTTTCAAAGATCTACAGAAAAAACAAATTCTAAGCTGTGATTTCAGCTTTCTCAAAGTTTTGTCATGGCAGTAACTAGTATAAATTATATACTTAAACCCCAAACCACTACAGAGGTGGTCAGCAGGGATTGGAACATTTTTTGTTCAGAATATTTCTAGTGGAAGGTAGAAAGGAATGTTTGTTTCCTCTGCAGATTGATGTAAGAGTATGTTACATTCAGTTAAGAAGTGTATTAATGGTCACTGTTCAGACCAACTTCTGTTTTTGAGTAAAAAGTACATGTTTATATTTGTTTGAATAACTGAGAATCATTTTGCTTTCTCAGAAAAAAAACAGGAGGCTGATGCATAAGAAACACCGAGTGTTCCCCCAGTTGAGACATCTTGTAGTCCATTGTTAATAGAACCAGCTTTTTCCAACTCCAAGGTACAGGGAGCTGCAAAAATGACAAAAAATGCTGTTACTTCCGGACATTCGGTGAGTGCTTAATTTTTTAAATTAAGTTTTAACATTTGTAGGCATGTATTGAAAAGTGTTGTGTTTTCTAAACCCATTTCTTTTTTTTCTCTGAGAAGTAAATCACGACAAAGTTGTATATTGAAAACATCTGTTGTTTTATTAATTAGGATTGTGTGCCACACAAGTATATGAATATGTTTGTATTGTGTATTTATGTTTATGGTAATTATGCTGCAATAATTTGTTCTCTCAAATATGCAAAAATTGCTATTGCTACAGCAATATTTTGTCCTAACAATTGTAGCTGAGTTCAGTACTACAGAACAAAGTCCAGTTCTGGGCTGTGGTCTGTGTGGGTACCTGCAGAGGCCTAGAGGAATGAATGCCTGTTCTTCCAATCGGCCTAAAAGCCTCTGAAATGTGCATCTGGAGTGCCTGTAGTTGGACTGTGGTGATAGTTTGTGCTGGTGACAAATAATACCTGTTTGTAGTGGACTAGCGGCCTATTTCACTTGAATTGTGCAGTTGTGATGGAGTTGTGTTGTCAAGATCCATCCAAACCCACAGATAGAGCCCTCCAGCTTTTCCCTGGCAGCCAGCTTGCTGTCCAGCAAAACAGTTTTCAAAGCACGAATCTTCTTCCTCTTTTAAACACTGCCAAGTCAAATGGCTTTCAGACAGTCTGATAAATAGTATATGGAGGCAGTAGGATTCTCCTTGGTTCTTCTCTTGTGTGTTTACCAACATAGTGCTAAAAGGAATACACTGATCAGCATTATTGTATAGTAGATAGTATCTACATACAAGAAATGAAATGTCAGCAGTTACTGTAGCTGAGATTTTTGAGATGGGCACCTTTTAGTAGTAAGTAGAGATTCAAACAGATGGAATCACTTAGAGTAAATAAGTATGTCCTGAGCGTGATTTTGGTGTATTTACATTGTTTATACAGATGAGTTGGAGTGTGGTTCTTTTCTGGAGAAAGGAATTGAAAGAATGCTAGCAAGACTTCTGTTTTTTTTTCCTGGTTGGTTGATTGGGGTTTTGGTTGTTTGGGTCTTGGGGGGTGGGTTGCCTGTTTTGACAAACAGGCATTTGTTTGTTAAACCTGCTCTTTCTCTTATCTTTACATATGGAAGCTCTAGACCAAAATAGATGCTGGTAAAGCTCTTCTTTGAAATTTTCAGTTCGTAGCCTTGTAGATATTTATTCCAAAGGTCTGAGGAGGTTTTTTTTTTTTCCTGCATTAATGTTCCTACAGATCTCATTTTTCTGAGAGGAGCAGAAAAAAAAAATGTAAAAAATCGGGCAATGGGCACCATCCAAAAAGCAGGTAGTTAGCCAGGATGTGTTTGAAGGACATAATTGTGTACAAACTTGTGATTTAGTTTTTTCCCCCTCTTCTGTAACTGGAAAAAGGTACTGAACTGTAAATGTTGTTTCAGGTTCCTCTTTTTGATGATAATTCAAGTGAACAGTCAAAATCTACCCGGAGAAAGAGAGTGCTTCCATCTTGGATGCTGGAAGAAGATCTCCTGGTTGAGAGAATTTCTGAGCCTGTACCGAAAGGAGGTAGGTTTGCAGTGTGGTACATTTGCATGCCAGTATACACTTGTGTGCTTTGATATAATTTTCTTCAATTATAATGGTGGTGGTAGAAAGTAATGTGTTACTTCTCTTTCCATGCTCCATGCCTGGCAGCTGACAGAGCCTGACTTTTGTTACCTCCTTTGTCATCAGTCCTACAGACATGACAGAGTTCTTTGTGATCAGTTGATTTTCTTTATGTTCCTTTTTTATTTTCTTTTTAATGCCAGGAATACACTGTCTTTGGACACCCTTTCCTATAAGCTATACAAATTCTACGTAGTTTCTGTACCTTTAATTCCAAGCCTTCTCCACATTTCCACATCTAGGTCACTGATGTGTGCCCTTCTAAATTTAGTTTCTTCCAGTTTCACAGGTCTTAAAGGTAGTTCTGTTTGTTTGGTTGTTTTTTTTTTGATGATTGTCTGTGTTAGTTTTTTAACTATGACTGTGTCAAACTTGATCATTTAGTCCAAAGTTCCTTCTAGGAGGAGCAGTTCATCACGGTTTCTATATAGTAACTATATTCTATATTGTTTCATACCAATATGAGGCCAAAATAGAATTGCATTCCCTCTTGTCCTTTCCACAAAAGGGAATTGCTGAACATATGATAACATCCTGCTGCTGTGTATCAGCAGTAACAGCAGCAAAATACTGTGTTCAGTCACTATCAGTGGGAGACACAGGGATGCCACACTGGCACAGTCCCAAGAAAATTTTCTAGCATGTCTGGCTTTGGTCCTGGGAGCTTGTTAAAACTTCTAAAGCTGCCATTAGACATCCTGTCACAAACTTGCCACAAGGCATTTATTGCTCTGATGACTTTTACTGATGGAACTGGAGGACTAAAGAAATGAGAGAAGGAAAATGGATATGTACATTAACAATTCTACCCCAGTGTTTCTGTCGTTCTCTGTGTGCCCCACCCTGCTTGCAGTCCTGTGGTGAGGTGCGAGGTGGTTTAGATGCTGACTTTCCTCTCGTAGCCAGTGTAAGTGTATGAACTGTGGTTGGTTTGCACCTGTCTGCTCCTCCATGTCCCACGGCTATTCCTTAATGCCTCTCTCCCGATCTTCTATTTCTGCTAAGCTGGCGTAATGGAGAAATTTGGCTCTTGATGCCCAAGCAGGCCTGCAGAAATATTTCATACAGTGTCTGACCAATTGCTTCTTATCTCCTACAGTAAATGCAGGTGTCTGGGTGGATTGACCCAGACAACGGTGGCTTTAAAAACGTCTGTCATATGACAGTGCACGCCCTGCCTGTTCCTTTCTTCAGAAGCTAATTCTGAGAAACTATCTTTTATTTTTTCTTTCACCTTTCTTTCCCTTTTCAAACCTATACTGCTCCATGCTGACTTACTGCCTCAGATGTAAAAACTGCGTGCACAAGAGGACTTCCACTGGCTGAGTCCTTCACTAATCTGATTGTTTTCTTTATGTTTGGGTTGGTTTTTTTGAGGTTTGTTTGTGGTTTGTTTGTTTGTTTGTTTGTTTTTAGCAAGTACTATCATGTTTGTTATATATGTGCATTTAAGGTTTGTATTAAAGACTGAAGGTTTTGGTCATGTAGGAGATTTGGAGCTGTGAGGGTGTCCTGGGTTCAGCAGTAGCAGTCATTTTTCTCCTTAGTAGCTAGTGCAGTGCTGTGTTTTTGACTTTCAGCCTGGGAACAGTGCTGATAACACCAATGTTTTTAGTTATTGCTAAGTCATGTTTACTCTGACCAAGGACTTTCTGAGTCTCATGGTCTGCTGGGGAGGAGGGGAAGCTGGGAGGAAGCAGAGACAGGACACCTGACCCAAACTAGCCAAAGAGGTATTCCATACCACAGCACGTCATGCCCACTGTATAAATTGGGGGTAGTTGCCCTCAAGGGCTAGATCGCTGCTGGGGTTGGGCTGGGTATTGGTTGGCAGGTGGTGAGCGGTTGTATTCTCTTCCTTTCTTATTTCCCTTATCATTATTATTATTGGTGGTAGCAGCAGTAGTTTTGTGTTGTACCTTAGTTACTGGACTGTTCTTATCTCAGCCTGTGGGAGTTATATTCTTTTGATTCTCCTCCCCATCCCTCTGGGAGCGGAGGGAGGAAGGGGAGGGAGTGAACAAACTGCTATGTGGTACTGAATTACTGGCTGGGCTTAAACCATGACAGAGGGAAAGGGCAACAGCTGTGTGCTGTCAAAGGCCTGGTCTTGAAGAAGCTAGAGACACAACCGCTGTCGGAGCTGTTTAAAAAAATCATTATGTGAAATCATGATTCTAGCTTAGAGTGGGCTGCTGTAATAAAACAACTAATCTCTTCTGTATATCTAAAGTGCTCCCTTAAAATTGTGAAACGGTTTGCATGTTTTTAGGGTTGTATTGGATGGGAAGGTAGAAAAGTTGAGAACAAAACTAAAAGGCTGCTCTTTCATTTATTTGTTTTTTTTTTGTCTGTCTTCTACTGGAAAGGTAACGCTAATCTATGGTTTTAAAATTGGGTGTTAAAATTTGGAAAAATTCCTTCTTTCATACACATGACTTTGGTATGTCAGTATTTTTTAAGGGGAAGAGTTTTTGAAGTCTTGCAAAATGGCATCAAATATCTTCCTTCTGAATGCATTTTGCAGCAGGTGGAGCTATAAGACAAGCAGGACAATGGCCTTAGCTGTCTCCCAGCTGTGTATCCAGAAAATAGTACTTCAGTACAGAGATCTTACAGTTTTCTGAGGTGTGAAGCTGTCCAAAGAGAGGCACAACATTTGCTGCCTTTCTGTTGGTTACTGGCTGATGAAATAATTAGCTATGATGTGGTTGACTAGGCAAGTGGGCATACACTGATTTTGCCATGTCCTAATTGATGTTTGCTTGTATAAACTGATAGTCTGAAGTGATACTTGCATGATATATCTGTGGTAAAAGTTATTCTTGGACATGTGGTTTACTTGATGAATGTCCCATGTGTAAATGAAATTGTCAGTGTTACTGATACAGTCAGTCCAGACCAATCTTTGCCATGTATTTATTATTTTCCTCCAAATTCAGTCCAGAACATCCTTTGCCACGTGTTTGTTTTCTTCCAAATTTTCCCCTCAAGCATCTGTTTTATTCTAAAATATATATTTTTTTTTTTTTACTCCTACAAGTGGGAAGTGAAATATATATTGTTGAAACAGCATATGCACAGCTGCTGCTATTTCTCATGCTTTTGTTCAGTGTTCTTCTTTGCTGTAGCTTTAGATTTCTAACATGATAAGGATTTTCTTGTAAAATTGCATTCTAAAATTACCCTTTTATTTTTCTTTTAAGGTAATAGAATGAAAAAAGGGCAAGGATGGGGAGAAAGTAATATGAAGTCATTAGAATCAGAAGTAAATGTGCAGCAGAAAAAAAGATCAGCTTCTGAAGAAACTATGGAGGATTTTGAAGGTGAAGAGGAAGATCAAAAGAAAAGAAGCTGTCTTTCCATCCCTGTTCCTTCATCTCAGGTAATTATTGAGAGTGTAGTTGGCAGCGTCATGTTGAAGGTTGGGTCTACAAACAGAAGTATCTGTTCTGCTTGTGATTTGTTCTTTAGTGGTTGTTTTGAAATGCCAGTCCATTGGCCAGGTCTATGGCAAGGATTATGGAAGCCTTCAGAGTCTTGGGTTTCTAACACTTCCTTCTCAGGATCTGGGACTTAGGCCCCAAATGTTCCAATAGAAATACCAGACTTTCAGCTTTATAGCAAGAGGCTGGAAGACATGGGCCAATGTACTGTTTCTAGGAGTGGCTTGGTGTGTGGTTTCTTCTTTCTGAAAACTCTTCAGGGACAGGTGATGGTATGACACTGTTGTAATGCAACATTGGACTTTGTCCATAGTAGAGCCATTGTAGTTGGTGAAGTTTTATGATCAGAAAATCAGGGTATGTGGCTCAGCAACTGCTATGTTTTGAAGAAAGGTAGCACGGAGTGTGCTTATGCCACTATCTTAAAATCTGAGCCAAAAAAGGGAGGAAAAAAAAACCCTGAAATCCAAAATAAGCTGTGGCAATGAGCGAACAGATACTTCAGCCCAGCTGGTCAACCCCTGTGTTTTCTCAAAGTACAGCTGTGTTTACAGGCAGTTAAAGACTTGGTGATAGCACCCTGCTAGTAATGAAAAGAGAAGGATCATTATCGAAGACAAACAAACTATATTCTGGTGAGAGCAGACAGAGGCTTTCACTGACGTTTCCTTTACGTGAACAACCTGGGGAGGTTTTCCTAATGTCTAGCATTAGAATTGCCTGGATCTGTTCTAGGATCTGATAAAATACTATTATTTAGTATGCATCATTGTTTTTGACACTGAAAACTATTGGGGTTTTGGTTTTGATTTTTTTTTTTAATTAAGCTTAAGAATAGTTGAAATGATCTACTCATGGAGAGCATACCCTGCCAGGGTGGTTTTGCTGTAATGTAGTGGTGTCTATCTGAAAAGAGCAGTGAGCTTTGTTGTTGACTAGCTACATTAATACCAGCTGCAGTGACTACATAATGAATTACATCATTTTGCAATTTTTAAGTGTAAAGCTTTACTTATTTTCTCCTAATAATTTAATGAGTCATTTTTATCCCAAGCACAGTGTTAAGAAATTGCCTTCAGAACTTTGCAGGAAAAAACAATGGGTTAGTGCAAGCAAAAGTAATAATCAGAGACAGCTCTATAAGACTGGAGTTTTGGTATCAAAATCATGCTCCTGCTGTTATATTTAAGGTGATTGAGAAAATCTGATGAAGGGTAGGAAGTCAAAAGGGTGTTAATTCTTCCCAGGGCCAGCAGCCGCCAGGTGGCAATGAGGTCACATACGAGCTAGAACCAGGGCCAGCAGTGCTGATGGCTTCAGTTTTCCTTGATTGCAACCTGCTTTTAATTAGTACCTAATAAATGTGGAAGTGTTTGGTCTCATTATATGCAACAGAGGCAGCGGATTGAAATGTGTAGTAGACGAGTTGCAAATGGGAGTGTCAAATTAATTTAGTCCTCCTTTTGTTAATGAAGCTGCAGTTGTTATTTGAGCCTGATTTTGTGAGTCTCGGTAAGAGTCATCTTTGTCTCCAGTTGAATTACTTAATATGCTGCTGTCAGGGTCAGTTGATACTAATGTGGACTTTGCCCTTTCTTAATCACATTCCATCTCAAATCTAGTCGTCTCTGCTTCTGGTTAACCATTTTATGCGGCTTGCAATAAAAGGAACAAAATAAAATAGGAAACCACCAACTGATTTTCAAGCTCTGCCAAACACATGTGTAAACTAAGTATAAATTTACTGGAGGGGAACTTAAGATAATAAACTGTAGAAAACAGAGACCTAAAATAGTTCTGTAATGTTTTAAAGCAGTTCAGCCTTCAGTATACGTATGCTTTCAGGTAATACGTCAGTTGTTAGGACAATGTTCCTTTCTTCATTATGCATCTCATACTTTTTTTTTAAAGCACACATCTCTTATTATAAATGTATATTGCACCAAAATTTAAAATGCACCACTTGTCAAAACTGAAATCTTTGCCTGATGCTATTTACTGACAAATTTTTATGATTTAGAGTCACAAGCTGAGGCATTTAAGATGTATTGTGGTAGGATTAAGTTCAATGATAAATCATGAGTTCCCATGTATCTCTCATATGATATTTTATGTAGAGAAATATATATTCCATATATCTTGATACTTAAGGGATTAAAATTGAATCTTTTATTGAAATATGTGTTTTTCTAGATTCTACTGTATCTTCACACATATAATCCTGATTCATTTTTCAGGATCAGTATTTCTAATAAATATTTTAAACTAAAGTCCTTGGATTATTCACAAACTGAGGAAGTGAGAGAGGAGCCTGACTCCAGTGTGAGGAAAATGGAGCAGAGGATGGTTGCTCTTGGATAAGTTTTTCTTTAAAGTGTGTGTGTGTACTTCACTCGAGCCTTTCATTCAGCAGCTCTATTTAGCAGGTAACTGGAGTTTGGGAAGTGGAGCAGAACATTTTAAAGGCTGGACCAGACTTTTCTTTCAAGGTCCTTTCCAACCTGGGCTGTTCTGTGATTCTCTGATTTTGAAAATGATAAGGCAGAGTTTGACCTTAAAGCTTTTAATTCTGAAGAGTGTAAATTTTCAGGTTCTTCAAAATGTAACCTTGTTCCACAGAATACATCTGGATTTCCTCTTGAGAATACCATGAGAAACATGGAAGGCAATGGCAAGACTGGATCAAAAAACCATGGAAGTTCTTTGGAAAAAAATGATAGGCAGCTGAATAGTAAACGGTCCAAAAAAGTAGGTCAGATCTCCAGTAAAGACAATAGAATTGAGGAAACAGAAAACAAAGAGCCCATTACTGGTTCTCCAAGCCAACAAGCTCACTGGGGCAGGACTTCCCAAAATTTTGATGCCCAGGAAGGGATTCTTGAGCCTGATGCAAATCTGGATTATGAGACTGAAATTTCTGATTCAACCAGAAGTGCAGATGCTTCAGAAAGCTCCAGACAAATCAAGCGTAAGAGGACACCTTGCATGTATGGATCAGGCTGTTACAGGTAAAGCAAAATTAAACTAGCTTAAGCTGGCTTGTTATTAAGAAGTAATGTATTAGCTAAGGAAGAGGAAACAGTAAAGTTGTTAAAAGCTTTGATTTGAAAATAAAACTTTTGGTAAAAAGAGGACTGATGAGAAGCAAATGGTGTAACAAGAATTTTTGAAATATGAAAGGAGGAGCCAGGATGTCTTGCATTAGCAGGTAACTGTTAATGTAACCCAAACAAGGGATGAAGTACTTCAGCAAATGAAAAGATGAAGTGGTGTAGGAAATAAGAAACAATAATAAGAAAAGGTCCATTTTAAAAAGAAAACAAATAAAACCCATGTGTGTATGGTACAGGTACGAGGGGGAGAAGAGATGTAGATGGTTGAAATGAGCAACAGGCTGGTTTTATTAGATGAAACTTTTTTGAAAGATGCTTGTATTTATTGAAGTTATTGCATGCTTTGTGATCTGAATACTTTAAATACCTATTCATCATCTGTATTTTTTTTTTAAGCTTTCAGTCCTCCTCCTAAAACCAGAAGAAGGAATGCTTACGAACTCCATATTAACCCTTATCTGCTTAGTGTCTTTGGTAATATTTCAAGTGAAGAGCAGTATTTTTTTTTTTAACTCTCTCTTCTACTACTCGTTACCTCTCAATTTATGGTGAAATATAGAAATGTTTTGTGTGATACAAATAGTCCAGAGAAGCTCAAAACCACTAGTGCTGAGTGCTAGCAAATGACCAGTGACCTGAGAAGTGCATTTAGGAGAAGGTTTTGAGCTCTAGATAATTCATGTTTATTATAAGCACAAAAGATAAGGGTAATCCAGAAAACAGGGGGGATGGAAGGAGTGGTGTGTGTGTCCTGTGATTTCTTCTTATTATTAACAGTTATTTTCTTCTTTTTTTTTCTTTTCCCCCAGTGGGCTTGAGCAATAGGAAAAAAACAATAAGGTTTAGAAAACAAAGAAGCACAAGTAGATAGATGGCTTACTGTGTGTGTGAGGTGTGCCTACTGCTGTGGGTAACTATATATCAGTAGCATAAAGCTGTTGTGTTAATGAACACATCAGACTTCCACTTTTCATGTACCTTTCTTTCACATATCTCAATTTTTGCCCTTAAGGATTATGTTGCAAACATGTTTTTTATTAGGCAGTTAAGCTGATCCAGTAGTACAAATGCAGCCTCTAGTTTGCTCTAGCTACCTCTAATTTTGCTCAGACAAGTTTTTCCTTGTATTGTGTGGGTTAAGCTGGTTTAACGCTCTGATATGGTGAAGTATTCCTAATGTTTAGGAAAGCAGGTTTTAGTTACAGGTAATATGGAATAGGAGTTGGCATGTGCACATTTCTTCTTGGGTTTTTATTCTAAAACATTGACAGCAATACTTTGGAAAGTGTTGCCTTATAAGAAAAAAGAATGCTCTGAAATAACACATAACAAAATCTTACTTTGCCAGAGAATATTTCTAAGTAGGAAATATCAAAACCATCAGCTTTGATCTTCAGGAAATGTCAGGGGACTAAACCTTTTTGTTTGCAGCAAAAGAAATGTGTTTTGTAGTCTGTTTTAATATTTGTTTTTGGATGCAAGACCACCAAGTAGTCTTTCTGCGTTGATAGGATAGCTGTGTTAGAGTAAAGCAAATCACTCAGTTATCCATATTTTTGAAAGCACGTACCAAAGTGTGACATGAGTGGATACTTTGAAGGAGCACACTGATAGCATATGCACGGTTTTCCATTCCATAGTGTTTTTCTTGTGCAAAAACTAGTTTTAGAGTTGTGAAGGAAGAGGAGTTGCTTTGAGTACAACAGGTAGTTGGTTTCTTTCTCCTTCATGACTTTTAACTTTGTGAAAGGTGTCTTCAAACAAGAACATCTAATAAGTCAACATCTTAAATGAGTACTGCATTAGTAACCATAGCATTTCCCTGAAGTTTTGTTTTTCTAGGTGAGGTTCCTTATTCATAAAATGTTATTGATCCAATAACTACATGCTCTTCAGTGTTGTAGTCTTTATTTTGTACTCTCATATTAAGATATACTTGTGTTTTGGATAGAACTCCAGCGTGTTTGGTACATGCTTAGTAAAGTAGCATAAATTGAAAAGATTAAATGTTCTATTAATTTTATTAGATTTCTCTAACATCTTAAACATCTAGGAGATAACTTTGTAACTCATAGTTCAGTTTCTGAATTTATTAATTTGAAAATGCTGCTTTTGAAAGACTCAAGCTTCATGCACACCTCTCACTCCAGGGATGCTTCTTTTCATTGACCTTCAGGGTCAGATTCTGAGATAGCCTGAAGCTTTACCACATTGAAAGAAACTGCTGTTAGGAGGCAAGTGTTTTGTGTGTGTTGTATCTGGCTATGCTTGTTGTCAAGGAACTTACTCTTTCAGCACTCTCTTCTGTACATTTTCTTGTCTGCTGCTTGTTTTTCAAAGTTAGAAGAATAGGAAATTAGAACTAAAAATAGATCCAAACCCACCCCTCAAGGGCTGCATAGAAGGGGTGTGGTAGACCTGTTCTCTGCTGATTGGGTGTGTAGAAAGCTTTCTCACAGCTGTCAAAGCAGGGCGTGCTCAACCAGCCTTTGGGTTTGTATGCGCATTCTTCTAAATGCTTTGCTCCTTGTTTATGAAGATAAGTATTTTTCCTTTCACCTTAAGCTTGTAAATCTGTCAGCTGAAAACCTGTATCTGTCTTTTTTTTTGAGTCTTGTGGTGTAATAGACAATATAGAACTTGGAAACATGTTACATGCAGTTGTGGCATAACCTCAGGTTTGAATTCTGTGGCTTTATAACTAATGCTGCTAATTCATTACGTTTTCACTACCAGTTTCCTTATTAGCTAGAAAATAGCCCTTAAGATGTCAGGGCTCTCTGCATGTGATTATGAAGAGCCAGGGATTCTTAACTAATCAATTAAACTTGCTTTAGGAAAAGCTTCTAAGTATCTTTTGGTAGCTGCACAGATGAAAAACTGTCTTAAATGTTTCACTAGGCAATATGCAACTTCTGCTTGAGATGGCCACATTGATTCTGAAGAACTTGATAAGTTTTATTTGCATAACTTTTATTTGCATAATTTTTTGCATCATCAAGGGTAAGTGCACAAATCCAGAGCTGCTGTAAAAGCAAAGTTGCAGTAAGTGTGTTTGAGAAGGCAACTGTTGTAAGACTTTATTCTTGAAAGAGTTTTCTAATTGGTTGATTTTTGTGCGAATATAATTTTGTTTTGATTAAATGAATAACATATTCCTGTGCAGTGAGGTTTTGTGGTAAAACTAATTAGCTTCAGAGTGCAACTTACACAGAGTGATAGATGTGTTCTTACCACTCCAATCCCTTGTGCCCAAAAAAGAAAAAATAAAAAAACCTCAAACAAGCCAAACCCTTAATAAGAGGAAGAGGCTTTAGATTTTTGCATGGAGGGAAAATGTTTGCTTTAATATAAGCTATGCACTTCTGTGCTGCTGTTTATTTTGCTGGATGTTGTTGCACAACACATAGAAGTGGAATGAGTACGAATTATCCAGGTAAAGGTGAGATAAAATGTTTCTAATAGTCCTGAGTGTCTGAAGCAGGACATGTGTAAGATACTTTATAGGTAACATATAATTTGAGGATCATCATCAACTGGTCCAAAGAAACCTGAAGCCCTGTGATAGGGAGCATACATCAAGATGCTTTTGTTTCTTTTTTTTTTTTTTTTGAAAAGAAATGGATATCTCCTGAAATACAATAGGTTGGATAATCAACAGCTATTAGGTTTCCTTGGTGACTATGATGCTACATGTATTTTACTATAGGAATGAATTAAATACAATCATAGAATGGTTTGGGTTGGAAGGGTTCTTAAGGGTTGTCTAGGTTCAAGCACCCTGCCACCGGCAGGAACACCTTCCACTAGGCCAGATTACTCAAAGGCCAGTCCAGCCTGGCCTTGAGCACTGCCAGAGATGAGGCATCCACAATTTCACAGAACATTAGTTGCTTCTGTATCCCTTTGAGGTGGTGAATTTTGTTTCAAATTACTGAAAATTCTTGCTGGTATTGCTAATACTAAGTAAGCTCTATGCATTCAGAAAACAAAGCAAGTAGCCGCTAAAATGACTTGTTCTGATCTCATTTATTTTTTAAATGGGAAAAAAAGTAGGCAGCCAATCTGTGCTTGGTGTAAGAAGTGATGTTTCCTGAGAAATTATTGTTGAAGACTGGTAAATGCAACCTTACAATTATGTACTTTACTGTAAAGTTCTTTACTGTGAGGGTGGTGAGGCACTGGAATGGGTCCTCCAAAGAAGTGGTAAATGCTCCATCCCCTGACAGTGTTCAAGGCCAGATTGGACAGAGCTTTGGGCGACATGCTCTTGCATGAGGTGTCCCTGCCCATGGTACAGGGGTTGGATCTAGATGATCTTAAAGCCCTTTCCAACCCAAACCATTCTATGATTCTCTGATTTTTAGTGAAACTGTATTTACTTACCCAGTAGTCTGCAGAATTAACAGAAAAGACTGGGACTATAAGTCTGTCGCCTGTGTAAAGAGAGCCAAGAGATTGGTTCTTTCCTAAGTAGCGCATGAAGGAGTTCATCTGTAGCTTTCTTGTTGAGTTTCCTGAGTGGAAGATGCCAGGCAAATGGAGATTTTAAAGTATTAATACTAAATACCTATTTTTTTCAGATGCCTAAAAGGAGGTCTGAATGACCAGTATTGCTCACAATGCTTAAGTAATCATTTTGCAAACGTTGTAACAAAAGCTTTTGTTGAAAATGGCAGTAGTTGAAATGCTGAAATTAGTATTTACTGTTGCCTATAAAGTTCCTAACGGGTCATTTTAAATTTAAAGGAAAGAATGCCTGTGGTGGATGAGGGAGCTGTTGTGTATGTAGCTAGCTACATAAATGTTTCTGGCTTTGTGTTTCTAAATACATCTGTAACAAGTGTAAATTAAAGCAGTAAGAACTTTGCAGTTCAAAATTGTCGTTCTTCCTGCTTGAGGCAAGCAGTTCACTTTTATAATTTGCACACACTGAAGGTTATATACGCTGGGAATTAGTGTGGTGAATTACTGAAGTATTTTGTGGATGCCTTTTGGAAAATCATTTATTAAATTAGCTCATATTTCTTGCTTTTAAATATTATGCTTGAAAAAAAAAAGCATCCTTAAAATAAATCGTAGGGGAAAAGTAGATTTGCTGTTGGTACCAGTATGTTCACTTTGACATAATGTTTTGTAGTATGTTTTGATCAGTCACATGGGTTTCTCCTGAAGTCCTAATGTGTTATTCTCTGTTCTTTTCAACATCACTTGCAGAAGTTTTATAAAGCAAATGTTTCTCTAAGTGATGTTTATGGCTGCTTTGTGTGGTAGGGTTGCAGTCAAAGCTGTTTCCCAGAAGCAGAATTGTTCTTTCAGTGGTGTGTATATTGGTATTCAATACTTGCTCACCTTGGATTCAGCTGCATAAGTGTGGTAGAGCAAGAAGTTGTGGATGCTGATAATGTGCTATCATCGCTAGCACTGGTGTGATTCAACTACATGCAGAGTAGTTATGTTGTATGATACATCGTTGTAATTTGATACTTCAAATGAAATGTCCTGGTAGCCAAGGCAAACCTAACAGCATAATCAATGCAATGTCCAGCAGACTGCTCCATCTAGAATAATATTCTGTCATTGAAAATATTCAAGTAGGTAGGAACTCGCATACAGAACAGAAATAATAGAGCCTGAGCTAACAGGCAATCCCTCAAGGGTGTGGGGAGTCTTCAAATTCAGCAGTTTTTCTGCTGCGGTGCGTTGGCTCTTCCAGTTTGAGCTAAGACTTCAGCAATGTTTTCCATGGCGTTTCAATAGCCCCAGAGGGAATTGTGACTCAGCAAGTTGGCCACTGCGTAAGATTCATGCTATAAGACTACATCAGTAGATTGTGTATGTGTTGGGGGTCAGAAACTTAAAGCTGATAGCAAATAGGAAAATCTGTGATTTACCCTCTTTTGCAGCATATGCTGAGAAAAAGCTTTTTTCCTGTTGTCCTGAAAGGAGGTCTTACATTCTGCATAAAGTTGAATATTAAGAGCTTGTCTTTGTGTAACCACAGAAAAATGAGTTGACGCTGATTCAGTAACACCTTTCTTATCTTTACTTCTTGTGTTTAAATGGAACAGTCAGTTCTCAATATTTATTTTTTTGCAGGAAGAATCCCATTCACTTTCAGCAGTTCAGTCACCCTAATGATGATGACTATTATGAAACAGAGATCATAGCTCAGGATAACAACGATAACCGGCCTGAATGTCCGTATGGAACAGCTTGTTACAGGTAAGAAATGCTGTACAAAATGGGTTATCTTGTTTTACAGGTTAAGAATGTTCTCCCCTGGAGTTGCAAAATGACAATAGAATAAAGAGTAATTCTTGATGTTAAATCTTGACTGTAGCCTTCTGAAATTTACTGCAGACAGACTGTGGCCTTTAAAGCACCAGAGCCTGTGTGAGCTGGTGAACATGGAAACTTGTCTCCTGGAAACTATTCAGTGGCCTAAAGATCAACACTTTTCAGTTGCCAACATCTATTAAACTGTTCTTCTTTTATATAAGCAATAATATATTGTTATATGCTCTTGATACATAACTTTTAGCTTAAATTTTGGTAAAGTATTTGTTGAGATTTTGTACAGGACCCCTTAATCCATATTTGATTTGTTAGAAAACATAATTTAGTCACAGCAATAAAATCCAGTTTATGGCTGACTGCTGTTTTTGTTAAACACTACAGATTTTCCTCAAAAGATTGTTTTATTCCATTTGTTTCCAAATATCTAGGGTTTACACTTTTATTTAGCAGAGTTTAATGGCTGCTGTATAATTGATAAAATGGACAAAGAGATATATTTTGAGGCAATGACACTTCTGTGGGGGTATATTGAAAATAACAGTTGCTGTGAATAAAGATTGTGCCTGAGCAGAAACAGTTTCTCCTGTCTCCAGGAAAGTGTGGTGATCCTAAAGAGTGTGTTCTTGCTGAAATGGAACAAAAAAGACTGTAACTTTTAAGAAACAGCCATGTTATATTGAGCTAATGCACAGAAAGTATTTCTCTTCTGAAAAGCGTCTATGAGATGAATTTCTCATCCTGGGATGAGAAATCTGGCTTTATAACAGTAGTGAAATCACCAACATCCTTTTCAGGAGTACAAGAGATGCTTTATCCAAAACCAAACTCTTCCTTCCAGATAAGAACACCTCTGTGCTGTATTAATTGATCATTTCTTAATCTGTGTTTCATTCTTTTGTGGGTAGAAGCAAGGAGGCACCCATGAAGCAATGATAATTCTATCAACAAAACAACATGTAATTTGAAGGGGTTTTGTGTTACAATTGTTATGTTTATCTGTTGGTTACTATTTGAAGGGAGCATAACTGAATGATCAAGACTCTGTGCCTTGGGTAGGGATTGAATGGTCTGATGCTCGCGACAGTAGTAAACCACTGAAATAGGCAATTCCTCATGTTTCAGTACAGTGTATTTAGTGGGAAGCTGTACTTCCATTTTTTTTTTATTCAGATAGCCATCACTTGTAATGCACACATAATGTACTTTGGGACAGCAGTAGCTATAGAATTGTAAATCAAGTTGAAGCATGTGAATTTGTCCCAGGTTATTTGAGATAAAACCAGGTTTTTCTACTGAGGACTGACTGTGCTCTGTTTTTGGAAAATAAGAGAACATAAATAAGCAACTAGTTCTAGAGGAAGTCTTCACAGCAAGGGTATTTTGTAAAATAGAGCAAAAATTTCTGGAGCTATAGAAATGGATTTCAAGTTTCAAGCATGTCACATCTATCAGTTTTTATCTCACTGAACAAATGCATCTAATTTTACAACTTTGGAAACTATCTCATATCTTGCTTTTGATTAGACATCTATTTTTTTTTAATGCTGTAACAAGAGGAAGACTTTAACCTGATTCGTATTTTCTCACTCTATAGTCTGTAAGCTGAGATGCTGCAGTAAGGCACTGGTCACAGAATTTTATTTTTAAAAGTAATGAAAATGATTCATGAAATACCCAGGAGTTTTGGACCAAAAAAACTAAGGAATTTTGGCCTTGGTAAGTGTGGAACAAGGTAGTGAATCAAGCTTATATGGTTTTCTTCTTTACAGGAAGAATCCTCAGCACAAGCTAGAATACAAGCACACTGCACCTCCAGGTAAGAACATTTGTTCAATGCAGCTCAAAGTCAAGGGGAAAACCCCCCAAACCCAGCAACAAATACAAAAAATACTCGTAATAAAATGCTTTCAGCTACTGTGAATAGATGAATAACACTGCATTTGTAGCTTACTCTGTATTACCCTGCACCCTTGCTTTTCTCAAGTATGAGGTCTTGCCCTTAGAATCATAGAATAGTTAGGGTTGGAAAGGACCTTAAGATCATCAAGTTCCAACCCCCCTGCCGTTGGCAGGGACACCTTACGCTAAATCATATCACCCAAGGCCTCGTCCAACGTGGTCTTGAACACTGCCAGGGATGGAGCATTCACAACCTCCCTGGGCACCCCATTCCAGTGCTTCACCACCCTAACAGGAAAGAATTTCCTCCTTATATCCAATCTAAACTTCCCCTGTTTAAGTTTTAACCTGTTACCCCTTGTCCTGTCACTACAGTCTCTAATGAAGAGTACCTCTCCAGCATCCCTATAGGCCCCCTTCAGATACTGGAAGGCTGCTATGAGGTCTCCACGCAGCCTTCTCTTCTCCAGGCTGAACAGCCCCAACTTCCTCAGCCTGTCTTCCTATGGGAGGTGCTTTAGCCCCCTGATCATCCTCGTGGCCCTTCTCTGGACTTGTTCCAACAGTTCCATGTCCTTTTTACGCTGAGGACACCAGAACTGCACACAATACTCCAAGTGAGGTCTCACGAGCAGAGTAGAGGGGCAGGATCACCTCCTTCGACCTGCTGGTCACGCTCCTTTTGATGCAGCCCAGGATACAGTTGGCTTTCTGGGCTGCAAGCTCACACTGAAGCCGGCTCATGTTCATTTTCTCATCAACCAACACCCCCAAGTCCTTCTCTGCAGGGCTGCTCTGAATCTCTTCCTTGCCCAACCTGTAGCTGTGCCTGGGATTGCTCCAACCCAGGTGTAGGACCTTGCACTTGGCAGGGTTAAACTTCATGGGGTTGGCATCAGCCCACCTCACAAGTGTGTCAAGGTCCCTCTGGATGGCATTCCTTCCCTCCAGCGTACCAACCAAACCACACGGCTTGGTGACATTGACAAACTTGCTGAGGGCACACTCAATCCCACTGTCCATGTCAGCGACAAAGATGTTGAACAAGACCGGTCCCAACACCGATCCCTGAGGGACACCACTCGTTACTGGTCTCCAGCCGGACATTGAGCCAGTGACCACAACTCTTTGTGTGCGGCCATCCATCCAGCTCTTTATCCCCCGAGTGGTCCATCCATCAAACTGATGTGTCTCCAATTTAGAGACAAGGATGTCATGTGGGACAGTGTCGAACGCTTTGCACAAGTCCAGATAGATGACCTCAACTGCTCTACCCCTGTCCATCAGTTCTGTAGCCCCATCATAGAAGGCCACCAAATTGGTCAGGCAGGATTTCCCCTTAGTGAAGCCATGCTGGCTGTCACCAAGCACCTTGTTGATTTTCATGTGCCTTAGCATGCCTTCCAGGAGAATGTGCTCCAAGATTTTGCCAGGCACAGAGGTGAGACTGACTGGTCTGTAATTCCCCAGGTCATCCATTTTCCCCTTCTTGAAAATGGGGGTTATATTTCCCTTTTTCCAGTTGTCAGGAACTTCACCTGACTGCCAGGATTTTTCAGGTATGATGGCCAGCGGCTTCACAACTTCATTCGCCAGCTCCCTCAGTACCTGCAGATGAATTTCATCAGAACCCATGGACTTGTGCCCGTTCAGATTTTAAAGATGGTCTCGAACCAGTTCCTCTCCTACAGTGGGTCCAAGGTCTTCATTCTCACAGTCCCTGCGTCTGCCTTCCAGGACTTGGGTGGTGAGGTGAGAGCCTTTGCCAGTGAAGACCGAGGCAAAGAAGTCATTCAGAACCTCAGCCTTCTCCAAATCCTGTGTAGCCAGTTCTTCCGAGAGCTTCCTGAGGGGGCCTACATTCTCCCTAGTCTGTTTTTTATTTGCTATGTACCTGTAGAATCCCTTCCTGTTATCTTCAATACCTCTAGCTATGTTTAATTCTAACTGGGCCTTAGCTTTCCTAACCTGGTCCCTAGCTTCTTGGACAACATCCCTGCACTCTTCCCAGGCCGCCTGTCTTTGCTTATTATAAGCCTCTTTTTTCATTTGAATTTTCCTCAGGAGCTCCTTATCCATCCAAGGAGGTCTCCTGGCCCTCCTGCTGCACTTCCTTCTGGTTTGGATGCAACACTCCTGAGCTTGCAGCAGGTGATCCTTGAATATCAACCAGCAGTCTTGGGCCCCCCTGCCCTCTAGGGCTGTATCCCATGGAACCTTCCTAAGCAGGTTCCTGAAGAGGCCAAAGTCTGCTCTTTTGAAGTCCAGGGCAGTGAGCTTGCTGCATGCTCTTCTCACTGTCCTGAGGATCTCAAATTTGACCATCTCGTGATCGCTGCATCCAAGGCTGCCCTGGAGCGTCACATTTCCAACAAGCCCCTCCCTGTTGGTGAGCATGAGGTCAAGCCTGGCACCTCTCCTTGTCGGCTCCTCTGTTACTTGCAGAAGGAAGTCGTCTTCTACACAATCGAGGAACCTCCTGGATTGCTTGTGCCGGGCCGTACCGTCCTTCCAACAGATGTCGGGGTGGTTGAAGTCACCCATGAGAACAAGGGCCTGTGAGCGTGAGGCTTTTCCTATCTGTCTATGGAGTGCTTCATCCGCAGGTTCTCCTTGATCAGGCGGTCTGTAACAGATCCCCACAGTAATGTCTCCCATAGCTATATTCCCTTTAACCCTGACCCACAACTCTCTGTGGACTGCTCACCTGTCCCCAGACAGAGTTCCATACTCTCCAGCCTATCCCTAACATAAAGGGCAACTCCCCCTCCCCACCTGCCAGTCCTGTCTTTTCTGAAGAGCCTGTAACCTTCCATTCCAACATTCCAGTCATAGGAGCCATCCCACCATGTTTCTGTGATGCCTATTATATCATACCCCCATAGACGTGCACACATCTCTAATTCCTCTTGTTTGTTCCCCATGCTATGGGCATTTGTATAGAGGCATCCGAGCCGAGCTCCAACTGAAGCCGGCTCATTGGCTGGAGCGGCTGGGATACCTCTGCGTTACCTGTGGTAAGGAGGATTCTTGGCCACTGCAGACTTGCACTCTCTGTTACTCATGTTTTTCAAGTGAAGAGAGTTAGGCTGGCTCAGACACAGCTGACATGGTTTGGATGATTTGTATCTTAGGAATTGACAAAAGTGCCATGTGACAAGTGGCTGTTTTCATGAGTTATAGGTTTTATTGAAAATTAAACACGGTATAGTGTGACATTCCTGGATCTCTGTATTTGACTTCCTTCATTCAGAGCTGAAGTATTGCAATGAAAAGAGGGAATATATTTAGGTGCTACTGAAGTATTTCTCTACGTTTTGGGTGGATACTGCTGTAAATTATTTTTATAACTTTTCTCCCATCCCTGTAGCAAATTATATACAGAGAAATATTTTATGCTTTATAAAGATTTATGATTTTATACCTTTTATTCTTTTCTTTTGATAGGAAATCCTCAGGTAGCATACAATTTTTCAAGTCTTGTGATGCTCTAAAGCAAACATTACAAGCATATCTGTCATCTATTTTTTAGTTTTATTTATTTTTAACCAGTGTTTTTCTTACTGAGAGAACAAAGTTTTGCAGATATGTTCTCTTGAGGCTTGGAGGGAATATAATTAAAAATGAATCTGAATTTCTATTAAGAAATATTCTACTCCTGTTTTATGTTCCAGTAATGAGGCTTTTTGAAAAACACGGGAATGTACTGTTTACATTTTGTCTGTTCTTAAAAAATTCAAAGGGATACTTTGCATTTTCTTGGGCTTTTTCTTGATTGTTTGGACTTTGAGATCTTTTCCACTCGAAATCCCAATGCAGTAAACAGTAGTTCAGAGCAGAACAGTTAAGGAAATGTAATGACAAGGTATTTTACTTTAAAGAATCTGGATTATGGTATTATGATGGAAAAATTGCATTTATGGAAACAATGCTGTAAAATACTTAAATGTTTTGATATGTCAATTTTCTGCTTAAAAAAATCCCTGAACCGATGTTAATGACATTTGTCTCCAGATGGCGTGGTTCATAATTGTAAGAACAGTTCATCTGGATTTTTTTTGGGCAGCAGAGTAGTTTTCATACTGTAGATAGAGCAGAACCATTGCAGCATTAATTTTAATAGGTCAGTGTTCTGTTGTAGCAAACTCTATGAATAACTCTTGTGCTAGGCTGTAGTCTGTCCTGACTTATACCTTTCTTTTCTTTAGTAACTGAAAGAGCAACCCGACAAAGAACTTCAAAAAATGGTGAGTATGTTCTAATGTTATAAATGGGCACATCAGCATGAGACCACAGATCTGCAGTGGTTTTCTGGCATTTAATAGTGCTGGAGATGCTTGGTAATATTTACCTGAAGTAGTTGTTATTTTAGTAAAACCCAGCTTGCTTTTTTAAAAGTAATAGTGTTGAAATTGTATTTGTACCAGGCTTCCTGGATGAGCATACCTGTATTTCCCTAGAAGCAAACAAGAAAACAAATGTTTTAAGGAGACACATGTGACTGAATCGATTGTTCCTTCCTTACACAGGTGTCGTAATAGGATGAAAGGAATCCAGTATTTCTTTGCCCTGTAAAGATTGATTGCTCTTTAAACATTGAGAGATTCCTTCTGCATTGCACTAAATTTTAAATAACTTTTGGGTGATACCTGTGCATGTGCTTTTCTTATACTTACTGTGAAGTAATATACTGGCTTGTTAGGACTAGAGTGTAGAAGGTTAATGGCTTTGAGTTGAGGGCAGCTTTCATGCTGAACTACAGATATGTCCTTCTTAGTTTCTTGTTGTCAGTGAGGATTATTAGTAGCACAGGCAAGCTGTAGTCTGTCTCGATAATGTACATTATAATACTGTGGATATCTCCCCATTTACCAGTGGTGCACCTAAGGTTGCTTTGCTGCTGCCAACAGTGTCACTTACATGTTGCAGGTGCATAAACTCCAGTTTTAAACACCCTTTAAGGTCTGTTTCCAGGCTTCTTTTGTATCTCAGCTTCCTATCTTTCTAAAGCAACTTAAAAGTGAGCTTTTATAGCAATCTGAAAGCCTGATGATAATGCCATCTTCACGTTCACTGGCCTGAACAATGCATGAGGAAGTGGAACTGCTGCGTCTCAAATGGAAGTGGGAACTGACTTGTCTTCCTTGAGGTCACGAAATTGTGGCTGGGCATTTCCTAAAGAAACCCTCAAGTTAGAGACGCCTGCTTTCTAGAGAAATTAAATAAAAGTGCAAATAGCTGTAGTTAGTTTTCCAGGCAAAGTGGTTTTGCCTCCAGTTCTGTTGTGGATGGATGCAAGAGGTTGCTTTTATACTTTCCACTGAGAAATTTCTTTCCCATCTCATTTCCTTATCATGTATGTGTGCACTTTTGCCATCACTGAATGCTTGGTATGATTGTATCTGTGAACTAGCACATTCTGAGGCTTGTTTGTTACCTGTATGCTTTGCCACATTCCATTATGCAAAGTGCCAGCATCAACCTGATCACTCTTCCCTTGTAGAGATGTGTATTCCAGCACAGTAAGAATTGTTAATAGCATCGTAAGCACAGTGAGGGGTTAAGATGAGGCAACCAGGGAAGAACTGATATTCTACACATGGGAAAGAAAGAAATCAATTTATTAAAGTGCTGATCACATTTACTGGTTGGATTTTTTTTTTATTTTTTTTTCTCCCAATGCCTTGTTGACCGGTTTCTGAGCTCTCTTGGGGACAAAAAGGTTGTGCTCAGCAGCATCACGTCTGAGGCAGTCGCACTGAGCCACGTAAGGTCACAGACAGTCAGGGCTCCATTAACCTTTATTCTGTGCCGTTTGGCACAACTGCACTGTTAAGTACACTGTTAATTTCTGTGCAAGTGTATTTAAACTCCACCAGCCAAGAAAAGAAAGGTACTGTCTACTTGGCATTTGACATGGTTGGGTTTTAACATTCTTAGTCTAATTGTTACCAGACAGATTACACATTGCCTGTAGAGAATGTGGTCTATGGTTTTAGAAATCATAGAAGGCTAATTACTGGGACGGAATAGTTGGAGGAAGAAAAGAAGGAGGTCAGTTATGCTGTATTAAACTGTTACTACTGAGTGACCTCACTGCACTGCTGCTAATTAGCTGAATGATTTGCTGGAGCTATGCAGGGTTCTTCTACACATTTAATTGTAGGTTTTCTAGCAAGTTGCTAAGCACTTGCAAAAGTAACTCTCTGAAAGGGGTAGTTGGCAGGCTTTTTCTCCCCATATGAAGGAGGTGCTTTCAGAGAAAGCTTCAAGGTCATCTTTAGAAATACAGTACTAGGGAAAAGGCAGAGTTGTACCCAGTGAGCAGCTTTAGGGGCAGTGGGGCTGAATTAAATTGTAGTGGAAAGAAGTGGAGTGGAAAGACATTGAAAGAAGTGCATCATTCACTGATGCAATCTGTTGATGTACAGGGATGAAAAACACAATATGCTGCCTTGTACATTTGTAGGAAAAACATGGAAGTAGTATTTTGCCAGAATTCCTACTTCTGTTATAAAATGCCATCCACAGTGCTGTGAAAGTGAAGAGCTTTTCTTTGCTAAGCATGTCTTGGGCTTATTATTTGTGCCTATTAGTTTGAGAAGAGGGATTTTGCTCCTACTGTATTTAGCATATTTTTTTTGGTCTCTTCCCTCCAAGACATAGTTCATTCTACAGAACCATGGTCTGCGGTTCTTGTAAGAAACTGCTGGTATGGGTAAGCATAAGTGTGATTGATTTCCCCTGAAGTCAGGTAAACAATAGTGGATTACAGCTGAAATTGGCAGTTGACATTTTCAGGATCTTGTGCTAGGTGGTGCAGAGTCCATCCTTCCAAGAATATTGGCCAGCCGTGGGATATTTCTCAGTTACATTATTGGCTCTGTCACATGGCTGACATTGTTCTAGGGGGTCTTTCAGTGCCTCTATAGACAATTCAACCGTAAAGTCGTGTATTTTTGAGAACATTGACTAATGCTTTTGATAACCTTGGGTGAGAGTTGCTATAAAGTCTTAGACTGTAAGGTAATTCTGGAATAGTGAAATAGAAAAATGTAACTGATAGAGGATGTGATCTGACTATCTAAGATGCTGGTGTTCTTGTTTGTCTGTGATACACAAAGCTTGAGTGCCCAGAGCTCTGACCTGACGTTTCAAGAAGTTGCTAAGAAATGCCTATGGTTCATACAAACATTGATGATTTGGACTGGGGTCTGCAGCTGAGTTAAAAAAAACCCAAACATGTTTATAGTTTCATCTGAATGATAAGAACTGCTCAACAGAAAACCTGCCAGTGATCTCATACAGATAATCTATTTCTAGATGAGATAAGAATGCAAAAATTAGGGGCTGGGAAGTAGAGGAATGACAATGGGTTTACTCAGAGGTATGGCTTACGTGCAGAATAACACTATTGGGATATTAATAGACTTTGGCCAGTTATGAATTGTGGTCATGTAAGAAAAAGGGAGATAGAGTAGGCTTGTAGAACAAGGGTTATGCACTTCTACCAAAATCAGGAAGCAGTAGAAATAAACTTGTTAAAGGTTCACACCTACTGATAAATAGGAGGAGAAGGCAGTGCTGCTATGGCAGCAGCTTTTTATATACACTGCCAAGTTAGATAAGTAAGACTTCTGCAAATAGGAGAATTACCCTGCCTTGGGGAATGGGTTTAAATGTGCCAGTGTATTTGAGCAATTAAAAGAATGTTTCAAGACAAGGTGTCTAAAGAGTTAGGAACATGCTGTGAACAGTATCCATTTCTTGTAAACAGAGGTTTCTGAGTTTTTGTGTCAATACAGAGTATTGTGAAATACTGTAAAGAGAGAAGCCAACCTGAGTGCAAAATGTAAGTTGTGAAGAAGCTGGATGGACAGCAGCTTAGAAAACAGTGTGATAGAATAGACTGGACTGCAAAACAGGTTCCACCCAGCTCAGGAAAAAGCATTCTGCTTTTGTTGTTTCCTTAACCCATGTTCAGAAAGGAAGCATAGACTATCCAGCAGAGATCCAAGTTGAGAACATAGGAGGTGAGTGATATAGCAGAATCCCTTCTCTTACCTGAAGCTCAGGAAAGAAATGGAGGCAAGTGATATAGCAGATTCCCTTCTCTTACCTGAAGCTCAGGAAAGAAATGGAGGCGAGTTAAAAGCCGTGCCAGGGTAAGAGCATAAAATAGCCCTAAGTAAGCGTGGATGAAGACTGAAAGCCTCAGGTCAAAATAAATGACAAGGTAGATCAATTGTTTAGGTACAGAACTGACAGGAAGACAACTAGGAAAACTGTGTGCCTAACTCCTTGAGAAAAGTGATCAGAAGACATCAGATTCTGTTTTTTTCTGTTACCAGAAGATGTTGTCAAAAGGCCTGATACTGTTTTCCAGGTGCTGGAAGAAAAGTCAGTAAGGAAAACTTTAAGTGATCACATGGGTAAGTGCTGCAGTAGAGGTCAGAGAGATGGTACAGCTTTTCATGGCAGTCTTGAAAATCAAACCCAGAATTATTAGTGTTGGGTGGAGTTCTTTAGTTGATTCTTTCTCCTCTTGAGGAGAGAGACCAACTATATGGTCTCTGGAAGGTTCTAGTTCTGTATTTATGGTACATGAATATATGACATTTTTGTCCTTACAGGAAAAAGAGCTGTAGAGAAAGATAGCGCCAGCGATGATGAACCAAATGAATATGACCTTGATGACAGCTTTATAGATGATGAGGAAGAGGAGTGTGACCCTACTGATGAAGACTCTGACTGGGAGCCAAGTTCAGAAGACAAGGATAATGAAGATGTTGAAACACTTTTGCAAGAAGCACGTAGATTTGTTAAGACCAAAATATAGCTGCACAGAACAACATTATGTGTCTGATCTGGTTGTGTTAAAACATGGATGCGCAAGGACAGGAACTGCTTTGAAAACTGGTTTTTCCTCAGTGATGTAGGCACTACAGAAAGATTTTAATGAGGGTGAGGGGATTCAGCAAAGCCTTTCATTTCCATATGTATTATTTTGTTGGGGTTTCTTGTTTCATTAAGTGGTAGAGCCAGAGGACTGAGCTCTGAAGTTTTTGTTTTTTTTTCCCCTTCATCTATTTCTTTTGCAACACCATTGGTGTCTTTTAGTTTGAAAGGTTGTTAATGCTTCACCTATACTTAAAAGAAACATTTGCATTAGGAAAGCCTTTTATTTTGTTGAAATGCAATATATATATATATATATATATATATATATGCACACTGTGTTGAATGAAGAGGAGTTATGCTTCACACCTGCAGTATTGCAGACCTACTTGGCCATTGCTAGGGAGTCTGTAAACCAGTTTTTTAATGTTCTTTTAAGTTGGTGCAGTCTTAAACTTCATTATTCTGCTCCTAGCTTTCCTCTCAGGTGTCATTTCTTTGATTCTCTTAATGTACAGTAGTTAAATACAGGTTGTTTAAAGAGGCACTTGAGAACAGTATCTCAGTGTATTGAACCACTCGGTTGTCTCCACAACAACTAATGTATTTGTTCTCGTTACAGCAGTATCATTTGCCGTGCCTGTACATCACTGGAATTATGTTCAATTCGCAACAAATCCAAAAGTCTTGGTGACTGTATTTTTGCACAATTAAACTTGTACCACAGTGTGGGAAATACCTATGACTCTGATTTCTAAAGACTTTGTTGGAAGCTGCCTTCAGTGTATTTACAACTTTCCTGAGCTTTCAGAAAAGTAAGTTTAAAAAGTTCTAGAATGTTTCAGGACAGATGTCTGGAGCCATGTGAATTTGGCGCTTGTTTTTGGACACAATCCTGAAATTCAGCAGGGTAAGCATTCTTGTGTGGCTTTGTTCCCCTGTGAACATCTGCTCAATCATGGTTGGAGACAGACGTCCAAATACACTCAAGCTTTTCAGTTGGGTGGCAAAACGTTCTCTGTTGACATTAGATGTCCGTTGCTGCTAGCTGGTGCAGGGTTGCTTTAGGATACTGCATTGTCTGTGCCAGTTGTGTGTGAGAACTGTCACTCAAACGTTTCAGGTATCAAAAATATAAACATTCATGATGGGCAACTGTTTCAGATTTGAAGAACATCTGCTTCTGTTTGGCCATCAGCATACTGCTTACTAAAGCTTTTGCATACAGAGAGAATCTAATAGGTGTTTTTCACAATGTCTGATGGTTTCTGTGACCATAACCTTCCTCAAGCTGGAGCATTCTCTAACATAGCATTATTTTGTGAACGGCTATTTAAACTGCTCTCAGGAGCTACTATCCTTTACTTTTAAAAGTTGAAATAGCCTCTTTTATCACTGAAGGCTCACAGATAACATATCACAAAAAAAAAAGCAAATTTAAAAGTAATTCTTGGTTTTGCATATTAGATCAAGTCTTACTATTGATACACTGGGAAAGTCAAAGCTGGAATGTAGCTGCTCTGTACTGGTAGGTTGAAGCTATCTCTGTTAAAGCATATTTTCCAGCTGTTGTATTATTTCCTTAATAGCAGGATATATTTTTATTCTTCTGAAGGGCTGACCTTGTGTCTCCAGGATACTGGTGTATTGATGGACCCTACTCTGTTTGAGGTGCAGATGAGACTACCCAGACACTCGTATGTCAAGTTACTGAATATTTTTTCAGTGAATCAGGAGCATGGTCAGAGGGTTGAATCACCTCTCCTGCAAAGACAGGCTGAGAGAGCTGGGCTTCTTCAGCTGGGAGAAGAGAAGCCTCTGGGGAGACCTTACACTAGCCTTCCACTACCTAAAGGGGACCTGCAAGAAATCTGTGGAGGGACTTTTTACAAGGGCATGTGGTGACAGGACAAGGGGGAATGGCTTTAAACTGACAGAGGGGAGATTGAAATTAGGAAATAAGAAGAAATTCTTTACTACGAGGGTGCTGAGCCGCTGGCACAGGATGCCCAGAGAAGCTGTGGCTGCCCCATCCCTGGCAGTGTTCAAGGCCAGGTTGGACAGGGCTTGGAGCAACCTGCTCTAGTGGAAGGTGTCCCTGCCTGTGGCATGGGGTTAGAACTGGATGATCCAGAGGGACCCAGACAAGCTTGGGAAATGGGCCCATGAGAACCTCATGAGGCTCCACAGAGCCAAGTGCAGGGTCCTGCAACTGGGTCAGGCCGTACCTGCGGAGGATGGGTGTACCACTGGGTGTTTGAGGTGTGAGGTTCCTGAGTTCAGAGGCTAAGCCCTGGAGTCAGAAGCTGGGACCATGAGTGCTGCCTGTTTCCACCTGAACAGAGATCATTGCAGCCCCACCTTGGCAGTGGGAAACTGGCAGAGTTAGTATGGTTTTAGCGTTGACATAAGAGGCAGATGGCAAGGTTTATAGGTGCAAGCACATTCAAATCCTCTTCTTCAGAGTGAATTATTTGTGCGGAATAAGTAAGGCCTGGCCCATTCACTGAGTTCCACCCACGGGTGGGGTTTGTGGGGCAGAACCAGGGCAAGGCTTCGTGCTTGGGGAGCTGCAGTTGTCCTGTGCTGGGCATGAGGAGAAGGGTCTTGGCCTGGGAAATACCCGTGGCCATGTACATCCCCTACCCCAAGCCAAGCAGGAGCTGCCTGAGTGGGCTTAAATGTGTTGCCACCCAGCTTTGTGGTACTTGACTGAAAAGCTGGTGTGGAGTCTTCGTTTCGGAGCCATGTCGCAAATGTGCTTCTGCTTGCGGTCTGGTTTCTGTCATTCTTCCCTCCCTGCTGCTTGCAGGGGGAGGAGGTGGCTCACTTCCAGAGAGGTCTCCCCCACCTTGTATGTGTCAAAGTCCTGAGGGTCTAGGCTGAAATGCACTGGGTTGCTCACTATTTTCCCTCCAAGTACCCATTTGCCGAGTTTGCTGGTGCGTGACGTTTGGCAGCCCAGATGTGAATCTCTGGAATGGGCTGTAGTAACGCAGCTTGTCTCTTGCAGAACCTTCTGCTGAGCTTGGAATGAAGATGAGGGGACTGGGGCAGGCTGGTTACCAAGTCAGCTTCTCTGATGTATACACCTGGGACCAGCTCTTTGCTAACTTTCCAGCTGTGGGTAAGAAACTCAAGTTGCGAAGGAGTATTCTGAAGGTGAAAAGCTGAACTGAACTGAAATTTGGTAGGTGACACCTAGTCCAGATTTCACAAACTAGTGCAGTGATACCATGTGTTCATGCTGTGATGTGGCTGCTGCTGCCTTGCTTGTCCAAGCCAGATGTTCAGTTCCTTTAGCTGACTGAAAGCCAAGCGTAGCCTTTCTCCCTCCTCGCTTTTCCTAGGTGCCTCCCAAGTACCAGTTCCTGACACCTCCCTGTGTCAGGAGTCTCTGTATCTGATAGGTCTGTTTGTACCCAGCTATGTGAAATGGGGACATAGCTACTTTCTCACCATTCTCTCTGTCGTCGTTTTTGTTGTGATTGCTTGAACACACATGAAATCTCAGATTACTTGTTTTTTTTTTTTAGTATTTTTGTGGCAATTGGAACTTAACTGATTAGTTAATGTGAATTGAGTTTAAAATGAATAAATTTTCAATGGCATTTAATTTTTCTGTACCCCTCTTCCCTCTTAATAGTTTATTCTTACTATCCTGCTGTAAGGATCCACGATGCACTGGGGACACAGTTGAAGCACACAAAGCTTCTGGGGCTGGTGCACATTCATGGACCATAGACATACTTTCCTTTTCAGAAAGCAGTGTGATGGCCTTATGCAGGAGTGTTTGTTTTCGTGGTTCTTGCAGCTTTTGTTGTGTCTTTTCTCACCAGTGTCTTCCCACTGGGATGCTGATGCCCTAAACCCCTTGGCCAGGGACCCAAACCTGCCTCTCTATGCACCTCTCTCTGCCTCTTTCTCTCTTGTCTGGAGGTTTTAACCAGCCACATGCAGCTCTCTCAGGTGCAACTGCCTTGATTTTAGCAAGATTCAGCAGAAATGATGGTTGCACCTACCTTTTCCTAGATGTGTGTAGTGCCAGTCCCTGACACTTCCCATCTGTTTGACAGGTCTGTTTGCACTAAGCCACAAAAAAGGAAATTTAGCAGAGCTGCAGGTTATCATAGAATGCCCTTTGATTTGAAAAACACTCCTGTTTGCTCAAAAGTGAGCAACGTTCAACACAATAATACCTTCCACTTGACACATTTCATGAAATTTCATCTATATTACTAGATCAACCTGTGGCTCAAAGTTTATTGCATTCTTGAAGGGTAATCTTTTCCTTCCTCTGCCTTCCCAAAGTTAATGCACTTGGTAGGGTGAAGGGATTCCCCTTCCTCCTTGGTAAGTACAGTGTTAGATCTGGTGCTTGTGGTAGCATCTCTTGAAGGGGAAAAAGCAAGCAAGAATAATTTGTTACCACTGGGGAGTCCAGTATCAAGGTTTGCAGTTGTTGTGTATCTTCACAGAGCAATATTGCACCTGATTGGTGCTGAGAGTGCTGCCCTGGGGAAACATAGAATCATAGAATGATTTGGGTTGAAAGGGACCTTAAAGCTCATGTAGTTCTAACGCCCCTGCCATGGGCAGGGAAACCTTCCACTAGACCAGGTTGTTCAAAGCCCCGTCCAGCCTGGACTTGCACACTTCCAAGGATGTTAAGACTTCATGGTGTTTCATTCTCTAGTTACCTGCATCTGATTTGTAATTGGAAAATAATGTCTTGTCCACTTCATCTGCCAGTCCCCTCAGGACTGACGGATGCATCTTATCAGGTTCCATGACTTGTGGTTCCCTTGATGGTCTTGAACCTGATCTCCTATAGTGGGTGGTTCTTCATTCTCATTCTTATATAGATCTATAAAGTGTATCTTGTTCAACTAGTAGAACATGCATTGATCATGCTGGCTCACCTTTGCTATTCTTTCAACTTCAAAGAATCCGGTTTTCTAGCACAGTCCCTTACATACAAAATTCTAAAGCCTACTTAGGAGGACATGAGTAGTTCTGAACTCATTTTCCATAGAATTTGTACCACTAACAGAGAAGCCACCCCATTTTTCTTCCAGCCTGTTACCTCGGTACTGTACCCCGAAGGAGGGGGGTTTGGCTCTTGTTCCATGTGGTAATTCATGCAAATACAGAAGATGAAATTGCAGAGAGAGATGTTTTTAAAATGAAGGGGAAGGTTTGATCATCAAGCTTTTAAAATGTTGAAAAACTTGGTTTTGTATCTATGATTTATCATTTGAAATGGGGAACTTAGAATAAAAATAATTCCAAAACTGTGGCAACACTAGAGAATCTATTGTTTAGTGATCACAGCTGGCTCAAGTCTTTTCAGCTCAGTAAACTTTCCTGCTTTTCTGTTGGTGTATGTGGCACTCTCTACTTCAGGCATAGTCTGGTCTGCAGTGCAAGCAGAGTTCTCCCTTGCATGCTGAGTCAAGGGCACCCTGTTTCTGGGTCAGCAGCCCATGTTTCTCAAGGAAGGATCCTGTGGTCACAGGATCTAAAGCCTTGCCTGTGTCACCAGCCTGATGGTGTGAAGCAGCAGGATGTATTCCTGTTTTCCTCTTCCTGAGGAGAATACTACCAGGGCCTGGGGCTCTTACCTCTGAATAGTGCTTGGTGTCATTGGTGTCCATGTGGATGCCTGGAAGATAGGTGGGGGAATAGGAGGAAAGGGATGCAGGAGGTGGCAGGAGTAGAAGCTCCCTGCACGTGGGTAC